CTAGCCGGTAGTTGTTTTTTCTGTTCATTTTTATTTAAATCCAAACTAACGGCGTAAATAGAGCACACCGTCTGACAAAGTGTTATTTTTGTAGAACAAAGTTGCGTAAAACATTTTTTGTGATTCTTTTAATAATTTAATTGTACTCTTAAAATAATTTTACGCAGTTTCATTTTTTGATGGAAAAATCTGTACCACATACCATAGAACTGGAATGTGGAGAGCCGTTTTCACTAGCTGATGGAAGGCGCATGTGGTGATCGGGTAATTTCTGTAACGCCATACCACAGAACTCGGATGTAATCCTTGCATCCGGCCATTCCGAAAGTTGCTCAACAACCGTATCGCAGATATAGCGCGTACTACTGCGCCATCCAGCGCCTATAATGTATGATCAAGGTTTTACTTCACTATGTTTGCATAAATAAATACACTGTCAATCTATTTATACTGGAAGGATCGCTAATGATCTCGCTAATAAGTCTTGAACCGCAAACCTGTGGCAAATTAACATTTTGGAAATTGTCTATGGTTTTCTCACGCCTTGTTAAAGATTTGTTTACAAGAAAAACATTTCTGATCTAAATTTCACATACACAACATGCGATTAGCATTATTAATTAGAATTTTAATTATTATATAACAAAAGGTTTCACACTATGCTATAGTTAATACAATAGCTATGTTATAGTTTATACCTCTGAAATTCACTATTTATTCGATTCCTTCTGGTAAGTATACTGTTTTTCTAAGAAAAAATTATCTAATAAATATCTAAGTCACTTTATAGCAAAATTTTATATACAATAATGTGAACGAGTAATTCTATAAAAATTGTTTTTTACGCACAGTTCGCCATCATGCATCTCTATATATCTCATTACTAGGCACAATGACAAAGCCACAGTCTTTTGTCTTTACAACCAGCTTTAATGTATGTATATCTAAAGTTAGTTTTAAACTTCTTTCGAACTTGCAATTTGCATCTCTCTCCAACAGTCTTCATAGTGAAGAAGTATATAATCAAATAAAACTTCAAAAGGCAATATAAGTTTTATCTTAATGACGTTCTGTCACAGCGCTTTGTTCGTCGACGAGTCCGAGACTGTTTTTAACAAAACAGCATAATAATCGCACCGATTAAGGTTATATCGTTGCAGAAATTCGTGCTAAGCCTACTTATAAATCAAGTACAGAAGCACGAAATGACTCGTTTAATTAAAATAATTATACATATAATTACACTAATTTTTGATTCTATACTGTTTATTCATGATTTTAGGAGTAGCAGTGTAAAACCCTTCTCGTAGGTTAACTTTTAAAATTTTGTACAAACAAACAATATTTTTAATGTGGAAATTTAAAATGAACTTAATAAATAGTATTTATTCTCAATACACGTAGCTCAAAACATGAACCACAGCTAATTCTGCATTAAGAGCCCTATTACAAATACAATCAAACTCGCTGCGCGGCCATACAAATTAAGTTTGAACTCCGGTGCATTGCATTTTCTACTAATTTCGCAGTCAATATCAGACGGTCGAAATCTTTAAACTCCTTCAAATTACGATTAAAATCTCATCTCCTGTCAAAAGCTTAGCCTGCTTTTCTAATTTCTTATCTCACTTTCCGCACTCTGGTTGTCACTTGTGGTTTGAACATTTTGTTCAATTTATAGAATTATTTTAGTGATACTTAGCTGTCACAACTGTTCTTCTGTTCTCTTTTGTTTTTTATGATTTAAATTATTATTATTTGTTTAATGCACAATCTGCTATTTAATGTTTAGTTTTTTCCATCCAATGCAAGGTTGCTTAGAAGAAATCGCTGGCTAGAGATAAGGCCGCCTTTTGTACGTTGTTATATAAATATTTTTGTGTGCTTATGTAATTTTCCTTTTTTGTGCAATAGAGTGTTTGTTATTATTATTAGGTATATTTGTAATCTTTATTGAAATAGGATTATAAATTTGTGCTCAAATTAAACTTATTCCTTATGAAGTAATAATTATTCTGATACAAATTTCGTTCAATAATATTATGATAGACAGGAGAAATTCACAGTTAGCTTATTTTTTATATATTATACTTACACAATTAAGTTTTTGGTTAATAATGAAATATATATAGTTTTTATCAGTGATATTTCAAAATTTCGAGGCCACGCTTCGAAATTTCGCTGTCACCCGAGGCAAGTGCCCCCATTTACATCCCCCTTAAATCCGGGCCTGAGACCAGTAGCTCAATCCAGAAGCTCAAAAAGCAGCATCACGCATTTTATGAAAATCTTTCTGAACCATTTTGGAATCAATTAAAAATTAAAGCACAATTAACAAAAGACGGACGCGCTACGAACTATACTACAAGATATACTGCACTATTCAATAACCCAAAATGAGTATTATATTTTTTATTCTGAGATCAAGAACGCCAAAATTCGCCATTTTAAGTTAAAATGAAAAACAGTCATAATGTAATAGGGCCCTTAAAATCACCCTTCAATTCTTAGTCAAACACAGCGATATCACTGTATATGTAGAAGTTAATGAAATAAAATTTGTATTAACTTTTGGAACTGATTTTATTCGATAAAAAGTCTATGATGACAGATCTGTGCTCGAAGTCAACTTTGCACCTGATTTACAGAATAGCACTGCGGATATAATAAGTTATATTACTGATTAATAGAATTTACTATTGATCTCATCTGAATGTAGTATAATTATTCTTAACGCTTACCGACAGATCGATGTTGATTGTGATTGATTTCAGTCGTTATCAAATGTGAATCGAATAAAAAAGTTATAATCGGCGATTTGTTTATGGTGAAAATTCGATTCGAATGTATAATAAAGAAGTGAGTAAACATAATTCACGTCTTTCAAAATTTTTATCTTTTATCTCGTCAATGTTTAACTATAACTATGAGAAATCGTTAAGAAATATTTATAACAAAATAAATAGTTACAAAAGCACACGATTACTTTCATTTTTTTTTTATTGCAAAAGATACGTGAGTGGGTTATGTAATATTAGTAATCAATTGTTTTTCGTCAAATAACAATGAGTCAATTATTGTGAACTTATATGAATTTGATTTTTCTTAAGAATACGGACCGAGATTTTTTGTAAAATATTTTATTACAATGTTGTGACTGACACTCATTCTATCCAGGGCCGGATTAGCCACGTGGCTAAAGTAGCAAATGCTACGGGCCCCGCGCAATTGGAATCCTTGATATGAGAGAGAGAGAGAGTTCAAGCCAATAAATAAATGTTTAATTAGGTGTTAACAAATTAAACTCAAGTCACAGATTAGTTGTGTTGTGTTATTTGGAAAGCAAAGGATGACTTTTCGTGTTGGGGGGAGGATTTGCTTCAAGCCCCGCTCTGGTTTATATCGGCCCTGATTCTATCTCATAATAAAGCAGTTCTTTTGCGAATGAACAGCAAATCCATTGGTATGGGTCTCAGCAAACATAACTGATTTAAATTTCTAATATTGATTTGTTTATGACATGGTTTTTATAAATATCGTTTGTGCTGGTAATACCTTTTAGGGCATTCAATCCGGTTTTCGGTGGCACAAATTAACCGGTTAACCAGCCTGTTTGAAAACCAAAAAAAAATGCGGGTTGAATTACCCGTATTTTTTTAAAAACTCGTAAAGAAAAACCGGATTTTCGTTTTTTTTCAAGGTAATTGAAAAATTATGTATTCGTTTTCATGTTAAAATGAACAATTTTTATGTATTAACTAACTACTTGTGACTTATTTTGCAACAGAAACATATTTCATAAAATGAAATTGAAAGAATAATCTTGAATTTTCTTTGACCTAATTAGTTATTTTATCAATCCAAGAAGTAATAATTTAATTGTCGCTTTATTTATACTGATTTGATATAAGGAACAAGTAAAGCATATAATAAATTTATTTTTAAGAAATGTTAGTTTCGTAAGTTATTTCTTCTTGTCCAATATGTCCGTCATGGAAAATCTAATTTCCTAGTTATAAAACTTACTGTGACCATTGTAATAAAATACACTCTCTTTCAAGGCCAAGGTGAAAAGAGCTATACGCACCGAAAACCTTTCTAACTGCTTCCAGCTGGGGTTTCAAAGAGAACTGTTTATCAATCCCAAATCCAAGGTTTCTGACAGTTTCAGAGTAAGAAATAATATTGCAGTTGAAAGTTACAGAAGGCAATTGTTCGAAGTCGATCTCAAAAACTAAATGTCGATGAAATAATGTTCCTTTGTATTAGTTATATAGACTGATTTCATTTAAATAATTTAATCGTTTAAAACGAATTTTCTTATATATCTACGTATTTCACGCAATAATCCTTTCTTTTAGGTTTTTATTTCAAATAAAAAAGAATAACTGCAAAGCCCGGTTAACCGGTTTTGTTTAAAATGAAGAAACCCTAAAACCGGTTTTTAAAGTGCTTTTCGCTCATTCTTCTTATCAGCCAAAAGGCGTCCTGAACGGGCATATTTGTTCATAGTAGGGCAGAAGACCCTTTTCTGGCTATAGCGGTCCTTTTAACCCTTTATTTTTAAGGCGTTTTTAAACTGACTCATGGGCATGGGAAGCTGCAATCGCTTAAGCATGAACGGTTTTTAAAATGTTGCACTAAAGCAAAACTAATATTGTTAACAGCTTATGATGTATCAAAGTTCACTTCCACGTAACTTAAAATGGCAAAAACTAGGCCATAACCTAAAAAATGGCCAAAATCGGTCATCTGCTCTACTTTAAAGAAGTTTATTTGATTAAAAATTATTTTGATTTTGATTCATATATGCAGTTAGTTCTAAGTACTCGTCGTAGAGCTACAAAAGAAACATTTTATCAACTAATAGGGGTAAAAAGGGGGCCTTTTTATTTAATATATAGACATTTATCTCATCAATATCAAAACATATTTAGTGTCGTTTCGTTAGCCGGAGATGTGGCCGGAGATAATGATGAATATCTTTCAGCAACCCCACAATGGACATAGGTGATGCTCTGAGGTTATGCGTAGTGATATTGTGTCTTCGTTCTGTGAAAGCAGAATGGTACGACACTTTTACTGGTAATCAAATAACTGACGCAAGGTTGGCTGCTTTGAGACTCAACAATCTTATACCGTAAGTCTAAATTTTTACTGATGAATCATCATAAACATTATTGAAGAAGTATTATTATTCGTTTTTGCATAATAATACTATAGTGTTAGTTATATAATGTTAGTTAAAAAATCTTGATAAATTATTAAAAAAAAAAACTAAGCATATATTATTTTCAGATGGTGCGCAGTAGAAGTGAATAATTGCACACTAGATGAACCCCGTCGGTCAGACTTCAGCTGCAATAACATACACTATCCATCACGTGGGGCCAGCATGACTCCTTATCATCACATGCTGCCACCTGACTTTCCAACTAACGGAGGGCTTCGGACTGCGAAGGTAAATTGTTTTAGATGGCAGTGGAAAGCAACAGAATTTTTAGGTGTAAATATATAATACAAACGCAATGAAACCTTAAATATCTTGGTTTTATATTCTGTATTATTTAGTAATCTTCCAAAGTGTATCTAAAAGCTATCTGTTATTCGTAACTTATTCTATAGCTACGTGCGCACTTGTATTTTTTTGCCATCGTAACTTAATGTTTCTGTCATCATACTGTCGTCATTTCTATGTTAATCATTTCATCAAACGACCGCGTCACCAACCGCTAAAATTCTTAAGCACTGAAAAAAAGTAACGTGGAATGTGTCAACTAAGGCAGTTGACCAAAACCAGTTATGGCCATTTTAAGATTATGACGCGTTTTTATTTGTTAGTACCACCAATAGAATAATACAATTACAATTATTCCTTATCAGGTATATGGGGACTACATTTGAAACCCGTGATTCAATGGATAGGTTGTGTAGGTACTTATTTATACGAGTACAACATGCTGACGTATCTTTTTTTTATGCGCTATGATAACATGGGAATACCGAGTAATTAATTTTATCTTTTTATAGTCCGGGAAACCACTACCCAATGCAAGAGCCCTCAGAGTCGCTCTAGTGCCAGATGGGAGGATCCCCAATAACAAATACACGAATTTGCTTACAAACATGGCTGTGTTTATAACTGGTAATTAAGCTCACCATTTTTTACCATTATTTCTTTTCATTATAGGTTGTTCACACAATAGTAGTTTTTGAACTCTATCCCCAATACATTATAGTTGAAAATCAAGTGGAGAAACTTGACAGAGTTGTGTAACCTGACGTGCTGTTGTCCGTAGATGTTGCTTAAACTACAATCCTATTTGCGTTGTATAAATGTTTTCATGGTTCGATTATGAAAATTTTCACGAATTAAAAATGACACAAGTTATATCAGAATTTCAAAAAAAAAAAATATAACTCTTTCTTGCGACGTTGGTCGTCTACATGTAATTACTTTGTGCAATATTTTTGAATTTTGTAGAATAATGATCTTGTATAAGATAATAATATTATACAAATAAATCAACACGCACTGCACTTTTCGAATCAGATGAATGAAGCATTCATTTTTTTATTTCGTACTAAACTTTGACAATATTCCAACGTATTACCATACCACCGTCAATTTTCATACATCACCATTTTTCCTTCCACATTCACTTCATCTTAACATCACTTCTTAAAACAGACTACAACTAATCCTCTTTCATAGTCGTAATAATGAAAAATCTTATGTGCTAAACAAATAATATATGAATATTTTGTTAAGTTAAATTGTTTGCCTTAGGTGACTCTTCCTCGGTCCATGACACGTTCAACTACGTTGTTTTAACCATTACCTGCTGCTTGCCTGGCGGCGAATTAAATCCGAGATGTATGCCTATAACAGTACCAGACGACGATATGCACCTGAGGAGGAGTAACGTGAGATGCCTCAATCTTACTCGCACCATCACGTATCAGAGCCTCGGGTGTATACCAGAAACGCTACCGCCCGAAAGAGTATGATTACCTTTATGTATAACTAGCCATTTTCTAACGACTTCGCTGTTTGTGATTTTTTTGAAATCGGTTCAGTACTTTCGGAGCATTGACGCAAACAAATCAACAATCAAATCTTTCTTCTTTGTCATATTCGTTTAAATAACCATATCGGAGTCCTGCCTGCATTTTCATTCACATGGTATTAAGTACATTTTTTGTAGAATTTCATAGAATCGTATTTTGCCTGAATTTCAAATATTCTTTTCAATTTTTGACCATACGATGAATATTCGTAATTCTTGGAAGGCTTTTGATAAGGCCAATAAATGTATGCAATTGTCCACAATCCGATTACTGAACTAAAAAATTCATGGAAATCAAGGAGTTGAATATAAAGGACCTCTCTCGCTTCTCTGCTAGTTATCAACGAATCTTGCTTAAAACTAATAATATATTACACATATACTTTTGAATTCCCGAGGATTTGTTTGATGTTTGATTTGTTAATAAAAACTACTAAGTTCTAAGATCTTTTTAAACTCTGGATTGAAAATGTATATAAACATTTAATCATGAGTAACTTTTAATGAGGGTTGCATCGAAAGGTTAGTGTTGTGAAAAATTAAGTATACTCAAGTAACATTAACTTCCGAACGGAGAGATACTTTTCATTATAATCAATGTTTAATAAAATCCTGCCAGGTAAATTTATTTGCGCCCATGTTGGATTTATCTCACGTCTACGGCAGTGACGCTGGTAGAGCAATATTTGCTAGAGAGAGATGGGGTGGTCGGCTCAGAGGTGAAAAACTGAAAGGGAAGGATTGGCCACCGGGTAATAGTCCGCTCTGTTTGCAGAACAATATCAATGAGACTAGATGTCATAGAGCTGGTAAGTTAAATCATTTATAAATAAGATATATTCACTCTTCTTTAACAATAACCTTAATTTTATTGCCTATTTCTGTTTTAAATATTTATTACATCATCTCTTCAACAGCCGAACCGGCAATAAATGCTCTAATATCCGCCAACATGGCATTCCTTTGGTTCATGCGACAGCACAACAACTTGGCAGAAAGACTCGCGAAGGTGAACCCATGTTGGGATGACGACAAGCTGTACATAGAAGCTAGAGACATCAACATTGCTATATGGCAGCAGATCGCATACTATGATCTGATGCCTAACATCGTAGGTAAGAAATACGTCACAGATCTTTTAGATATAACGCTACATAATCGTAGCAAGCAGACCAAACATTTTACCACATGCTAAAATACTCCTAACAAAAGTTCTTGCTCTTCATATATGTAATGTCAGAATACCAGCGATGTCCTCCAAAGTTCTATATTCAAAGAAAAATATGAGGCTTGGGATGGGTTTTTTTATCGGCTTATACTGAAATGCTTATTATGATATGTCTCCTAATAAAAACCTTTATAAGGGCTATCTAAAGAGTTAGTGTATTCAATAAACAAAAATTCAAACTAACCCGTATCTTGATCAATTTTTCACATTTTCATATTAATAATTTCTATAACATTCTTTACTTCAATTCGTGTGGTTGAAGACTCTCGAGTGAGGTAATGACGGGAAATCCACAAGAAATTACTGATATTGACAATCATTAATAAAAAAATATATTGACGTAAGAAAAATAAGTCTAAACATAAGTCTATATAAATAGAGCCTTGTCATGCCCCCAGATTACAGATATCTATTAAAAAACGGCGTGATATTTCCTGATCATGGCCACGTCGACGACTATGATCCGAGTCTAGAACCACGTGTCAGCATAGACTACGCCGTCGCTACTAGGTGGTTTCACGTGCTACAAGAAGGAAAGCTCAAGTAAGTTTACAGTTTTTATTAGTTCATAATTTTTGCCAATGCCCATTAAACACAAGAGAATATACGCTAAAGCTAATTAATCCGATCGAACTGAACAATTGCATTACTACACTTGGAATCATTCAAGAGGTAACCTTTTAGACACTATGTCTAAAGTTGACTGTTTCAATGATATTTATTATTTTAAACGCGGTTTGCATACTCTTATTTATATTTTTAGTCTATATGACAATCACGGCAAGATTTTAAGGCAGCTGGGAACAGTAGACTTGGTGCTACACACAGGTGTACTGCCTCAAAACAACACAATAGAGGGCCTTACACAGGGCAGCTTTAGGCAACCGTGCGCTAGCACCGATAAAGTTATAGATCCCGATGTAAGTATATTTGGATCATTATTTGATTTGTTGAAATAACTGAAAAATATGGAATTTAACACATCTCCTTTTCAGATGGGTGAGCGCGTTCTTGGCCGTTTGCAGTTCGCTTCCGATATAATGTCAACAGACATTATGAAGGGACGTGATCACGGTCTGCCATCATATAACCGATACAGGGAACTATGTAAACTGCCCGTCGCACATGATTTTGAAGACCTCTATCATTGGCTGCCTCATGATGTCAGTATATTAACAAAAGCATCGTTGTTAGTAAATGTTTGATGGCATAATTTACAGAAGGTTTATTCTATGTAAACTTTTGATGAATTACGATTAATTCGTAATCATAATTTATTAAATTTTCCTTGGTTGTAAATTTGGCTTCTTTTCAGCTCTCGGCTTTTGCATCCTTCTAGTCATCAATTTTGGCATATTTTTTTCATTTCTCTCCTTGCATCTAAAATATCTAATCATGCTTCTGTTTCTTTCTATATGGTGATTAATATATTTGGTCATGACGATTTTTTTATGTGATTGAGTATGATTTGTTTAGAAGTTTGATTTATTTGGGGTATTATTAACTTTGTTACAGCAAGTGGAATCGATGCAGATGTTATACGAAGACGTGGAGGACATAGAACTAATGGCTGGTATCTTGTCTGAAGTAGAGATGGGTGATGGTGTGGTGGGTGAAACCCTCGCTTGTATCATAGTTGACCAACTGCTAAGGTGGAGGCGTGCTGATAGATTTTGGTACGAAAACACGGTACACCCCGGGGCATTCACACCAGGTACATTTACTCAAAATAATAAATGATGAATTTTACTAGAATATTCGAGAATAAAATGGTATGGGTATTTCTTTCTGTTTGAGATAATAAATTCCATAAAAATATATATACTTATAAGAGTAGCTATCCATCCTGTCAAACTATTTTAATTCACAGAACAACTATATGAAATCCGTAAGATGACCATGTCTAAACTTCTATGTGATCACGGAGACGCAGTGGATGCTGTACAGCCCAATGCATTTCAATTGCCACGACCAGGGTGAGTTAAAAAATGGTTTTGTACACCTGCCAGCAACAGTGCCTGGAACAAACAGACACGAAGATTTGAAAATTGCTCACGCTTGTTATGATTTACCAGGCCAAATAAATCACACTCCAGTTTCAATTTTGAAAAATCTATCAAAAGGGTCGATGGGACAGCAGCAGTGGGTACGGCTAGTAAATAAATATATTTTGTAAGATTGTTTGTATTCTGGGGGTAAATTATTACACTATAGCACTTGCGTAATACATTTTTCTGGGCATATTTATAAGATAGACAATTTTTTCAACTGGATGAATCTAGAGAAGGCGCCTAATCTAGGAAGTTAACAATTTTAAAATATTTTTTGCTTTGTTTTAGTAACGAAATAATATCATGCTCTGAATATTCTGATATGAATATAGATGAATGGCGTGATAACTCCTGTAACGTGAAACAAGGGAAAACGCAGATGTACGTGAAACAAATGAACACTATGGTGCCGCGAGGTAGAGAACCCCAGAACTTCTATTGACCAACAATAGGTTAAAAGAAATCAAATCTTTAAGTTGTAGATACATGAAAACTGAAGTGATTTTTGTTTATAGTTTTCAATTAGTAACATATTTATTAATTTCATATGTATCATATTATTTAATGAAATAGAAAATATATAAGTTATCATATTCTTCAAATGAATTTCTTATTTCCCATGAGAAAGAAACTAATGATCAAAATCGATTACATCCCTTACTACGCTAAAGTCCATAAACTAGCTTTCCGCCAGCGGCTTCTTCCGCATGTTCCTATATAAACCTTCCTCTTGAATCGCTCTGTATGTTGACGAAAACCATGTTAAAATCTATTTTGTAGTTTAGTATATCTCAACATAAAATATAAATGCAGTTCCCAAACCTCAAGACATAATTTCAGATATTGTGTAAAGTACATATATCGAAACTTGAAGTACATTAATCATATAATTCACTCGAATTTATATTTCAAACGTGTGTCGTTTCAATATTTCATTTGACATTAATGTAGTAAAAGTTACTTTAATTCAAAATTACTCTCCTAAGCAGGTGATATAAAGGCGAACATTAAAACTTAATATGGTCGTTAAAACTGTTTTAAGCCCGCGATTATAATGACAGCATAAGCTGACAGCGATTTTTAACACTCGCACGTATAATGGAGAGATGTCTAGATAAAGAAAAAATGTCATAACTTACACAGCTTTGTTTTTACTAAGAGATTAAAATTTAGTGAAGTGAAATTTGTTAATAGCTAATAATTTTCTAGTGATAATTCTGATTAGTGACAATTCCTACTTCATTCAAATTCTTGTTTGTTTGGTAAAAATATCTCCATAAATTATGACATATTCTTTAGTAATTACTTCTCTCGACTATAGTTATAAGAGATTTTTTTATCAACACTTTCAGTTAAAAAAAATTGCTTATAACATCCTATTTACGTTTTCACTGCCAGGAAATAAATCTTTCGTGTGGATCGTATCAGGATCCAAATAATGAATCAAAATCTGAAGCAAGATATTAAAGATTTGAATATCCATCCCATAACTGGACTCTGAGAAAGCTCTCAAGCCTTCAAACGCGCTCAATACAGCCCTCAAAAAATAATATGGATAAAATATTGATTGATTCTGAACACTTACGTTGGTTAACTATTGACGAAATCCGTAGCCGAGTGATTTGCACGCCGGTTTCAAGGCGTCGCCGTTTCTAAGATCCCGGGTTCGATACCTAGTCGGGTGCGTGAAGACTTTTCTATATTATCTGAGTTCAGTAGATTCTGGATGTTTTTTGTAGCGAATAAGCTTATTCAAAGTACTTTTAACACGTCCTATATGTTTGTAATTAATAACCAGCTTTCCGCTAGCGGCTTCTCACGTGTGGTCTTTAGGGAACTGTTTGTTTTCAAATATGTTTAATATCATGACACAGATATCATTACAAGGATAAATTGAATAGTAAATAATGGTAACCATGATAACGTTTTAATTCCCCATACAAACTCCCACCATTTTCATCCGTTTATATGCTGTTTTCCGGGATAAATTATAGCCTATCTTCACCGCATATGATGCAGTATCCCGAAGGTGAAATTATTTCCAAAATCGGTCCAATAGTTTCGGAGCCTATTCGTTGCAAAAAAACAATCAAATTTTTCCCCTTTACCAAATAGCATAGATATTGAAGCGCGGTAAAAGATGTCCTATTGAAAATTAACTATTAGTTGATTCATTCTCCGTTTCCGCCCCCACCACCGCTCCTCTCCTCACTGTGGTTCACTACTCAAAGGCTTTAAAACTGCTCGTCTAACTGCGGAAAATTTGTTATGATCCGTCAATAATTTACGAAGTTAGTTAGTAGTATAAAACTGAAAGGTAAAGAACGGTCGTCTGATTTTAAATTAGCAATGAATGTTTTACTAGTATTCGTAGTGAGTTTGGAAATTTCAACTTTGCGGCGTTATGTTAACAATGCTTTTTATGTTGCTTTGAACAAAGCCATATTCTTAGTATATTATAGTATGAAAGAGCTTAGTTTGTAATTATCTAAATATATATAACTCAAAGGTGACTGACTGACATAGTGATTTATCAACGCACAGCCCAAACCACTGGACGGATCGGGCTGAAATTTGGCATACAGGTAGGTGTTTTGACGTAGGCATTCGCTAAGAAAGGATTTTGATCAATTCCACCCCCAAGGGGATAAAATAGGGGATGACACTTTATCAATTTGAAACCGTTCGGGCTGTGACTGCATGCATAAAGCTACTATGACGTAGGCATCCCCTAAGAAAGGATTTTGATAAATTCCACCCCTAAGGAGATAAAATAGGGGATGAAACTTAATTTCAGGTATTTTACACGATATAATGAATAAATATTCGTTAGAAATGCTGCTCAAAGTAACTTTACCACGCGGACGAAGTCGCGGGCAAAAGCAAGTTGATTAATAAGAATACAAATAATTATGTTACTTTTTTCTTACAAGTTTATAACAGACTTTAAAATAGAATAGGAAGATGTTCTATGTTTGATGGGTATAATAAATAAATATCACATCAGTAATCTATATTAATATTATAAATAAGAAAAATTAATAGTTTGTTTTCATTGAATAGACTCCGAAACTTCTTGCCCAATTTTAAGAATTCTTTCAACTATTGGAAGTAACATCCTACGCGAAAGTCATAAGCTATAATTTACGCGGGCTACATTTTAATATTAGACGTATATTTAATTAAGACTTAAACTTAATACGTACAGAAGCTGAAATAAAAAAGATACGTTTATATTGACTGAACTTCTCATCTATCTTGCCACACTTGGGTATCAATTTCGAAAATATCTAAAGACAATGATATTACGAAACTCGCGATATTTCCTGTATGATATTACTCTGAATTTAATTTTCGAAACATTCTGTCGAACGGCGCACGTACCACCTCCCCATGGAGTGATTCCGCACCATGTTTCGACATAATCGAACAGAGCAATACCTATGCCGTATTATGGGGTTTCCCTGAGGGGTGTGAGGATAAAATTGTGGCACACAGAAGGATGGATCTGCGCATAATGCTTTTTAAATAATTAAATTAATATTATGACCTGGTTTTTGTCATTTTAAGAGTTAGGAGTTTGTTACGCGATTTTACCGCCAATTGTGAATCGATTTTCAAAATTATTTTTTATTCGACAGCTTCATGGGCCAACCCGTTAACATTTTAACAAAATAGGTATATTTTTAAGCAATTTTGTACGTTCACCGATTTCTCCATGGTTACCATTTTAGTGACACATATTAAAAATATTTATATACAGTACCTATATAAGTATACTACGCCGCCTGGCAGCTAGTTTCCAACATCCCTGCCCGAACTGAAAGAAGTGAAAAATAATACTTATCTTAAAAGAGGGTAAATGTTGCAAGAAGCATGGTTATCATTTATTAAACTACTTTTGAAAAATTTAACCGCTTTTAATTTAAATATTACTTTTATTTTTTTTTATGTTTGAAGTCGGTTCTTTCGATCGGTCGGTTGGGAAAAATGTTTTTTTTGTAACTTATTATCGAAGGTATGAGTGTTTATGGAACACAACTTCATGTACATGCCTCAAATAAGTGTTTATGTATAATATTGTTTTAATATATTAATGTAGTTTCCTTGTCTAAATATAAAAATTGGAGGGTTCTGTTCCTTATATTTACCTACAAGAGCTAGGCACATTATGGTGGTGCTCGTAAAACTATCCTCTGGGATTTTAAAGGAATCTTGATAGAACGGACTTACGGATGTGCTTTAAATGCTAAAAAGTGCATTTGAGTTGCCATAAAATAAACGTATACAGAGGGGACGATGTATTTTATTTAGAATTCGTTTAACGTTTAACAGCTTATGCTTGTAATATTTTATAATCTAAAAATCTTATATGTATTTCACAATAATATGGATATTTATCTAATGAAAAAACACGTAGACTTTATACTGTCACGAAAACCTAACACTCTTAGTTACACAAACGTAAGTTACAAATATTAATTTCTAAAGACATTGCACATACAGATTTTCAAAAGAGAGTCCCTTTATCCATACCATATTGCCTCAAGGTACACTATTACCAAAAAATAATGTATTTGTATTTAATACTGGTTTTTAAGTCATATTTTTGACAGCAATAAAAAGTGATAATAATAAACTAAATTATAAATGCATATCCGAATAATAACGTTTCATAAACAATTGAGCTTGTTTTCATAAACTGACAATAATCTAAATATCTTCCTTTAGCTACCGTCTAAGTTCACAGGTGCATAATTATAGTTAAGGAAATTAAACTATTTAGTACCATAGACACCAAGTATCGACGTTTATTCCCATTTTAGAATAATCCCATATTCCCATACTTATCTCTTTGTTTATTCCATATAAGTGTATGCTTAACTCTTTGGACGTTTATGTCATTTGATCCATGGTTGATCGATGTATTTGCTACGTTTGAGACGTACTGCTATTTACTCTATTTACCTTCCCCCAAAAAGAGGGCACGAGAAATACAATTAGTGGGTATTTCATCCGCGTTTTGACTAGCCTTCGGGTCCATGCGGTCAGAGAATCCCACACACCCTCTGTCGACTGTCAAGTAGCAGGGCCAGTAAAGCATCACCTAAGATAAAAAACTGTATATCCCAGCGATAAAGTAAATAATGAAAAGAACGCAGCCAGGCAAAGCAAAGCTTTCCAATTTGGTTCACGCTAAGCACTGAATATTAATAACGGCCACCGAGCGGCTTTGACAATGTTCATCATTTTCGGATAGTGGACACGGCGCAAGTTTTTAATTTAAATGTATGACGGCTTTAAAGGATATATATTCAATGGAAGAGATAATTCTGCGTCGTTCATATTAATATCAAAAAATCACCTCTTTTTTTCTATTATTTCCTAATATTTTCTAAGTCAACCGCTGCAGCTATAGAAGGTATACATGACCATGAGAGAGTCGAGAAACGTGTCGAAAAAAATATGCCATCAAATTTTCACTCTCGACATGTTTCTCGAGTGTTAAGATTACTCGACTTTATATTATGCTAATTTTTCTTAATTATGCTAACTCTGCCAAGAGTGGTCGTGGTCTACACGTAATATTCGTTGGAGTGGCCAGTGTAGCTTCCCTCACGTTATCTCGTCATCTCTCTCTGTCAATCGACAGGTTTGAGCAATGCAGACGCGTACTTACCTTGTCATAGCTAACGGTCTGATTTCATAGAGAAGAAGACTGATTGTGATATTTATAATTAACTTATAAAAATGATGAAGGAGGCCTACACTTATACAATAGAGACAGGCTGAAGAAGAAGAAGATAGTTATCTGTAATATTAGAAAAAGAAATGTATTTCTCGTAACAATATATCTGTCACTTCCAGTTAAATGTAGTTCAGTATGAATGGTTAGTGTTCTTTTGAATTTATAACCTCCATGCCGACAAACATAGGTATAACATACTAGCGCGGGCTAGGTAGACGAATATTTTTAGAGGCCAGTAGCAAAGTAAAAAAATCTATAACTTTAACGCTTAAAATATTACATATCTATATAAAACTTAGCAATTTTGTTTATTTGCTAGACATAATATTTTTTCCAATACATATCTACACTAATATTATGAAGAGATAAGAGAGGATGGTTTTTTCTTTAAATAGGAACCGAAAGTACTGAACCGATTTAAAAAAAAACACTAACGGGATGTCATTTATACTCAAGGGAAATAGGCTACAATTTAAGTCGCGAAATTACAGCTTGTTAATAATAATATTAAAAAGAGGAAAAAATTATTTGTTTATTTGCATCGGACAGGCACAGGAATAAACTATGGGACTATTTCAAAAAATCTATCACGAAATTGCGGGAAAACAGCTAAATGAAAATAAAAACAAATAAAATGAATATACATCTAAGCTTATATTACATTTTTTATTATAATATAAAAAAAATTGAGTCTCGCAAAATTGATGAACTTTTGATTATTAATTTATGATGAATTTTAAAGAAAATGAGAAAAATAAAAGTATTAATGTTTATGACTTTTCTGTTTCCAATTGTAAATATACATTAACAGAGCTATCTATTAATTTATTTAGAAATGAACAATGAAGATTTAGGACAATTCAAAAGCATAACAAACGAGGCATATCGTTAGTCTTGGCTGCGACTGGTAATCGGTAGATGGCGTGATGATTGAAATAAAGAAATACATTGGATTCCTTGCACAAAGAACATTTCTTGTTTATTTATAAACTAATAAATATCAACAATAAGTTACACTTAAACAACCACATATACACGTACGACTTCGTATGTCAATTTAAATTAGATCTATTCACAAACCTTGAAATAAGAATACCACTTAATCATCTACTCAAAAATAAAATTAACTGCATTTCTTACTATACTATCACATTATAACTTACAAAACTATCTTCTTAATAAGTAAATCTTTAAGAATAAAACGCCAAAACATTCACTCCTAAATCAAACTCTGTGTCAAACTGTGTCTCAAAGGTGTTAGCAGAGTAGGGTAAGGTGGGACACAGTGTAACACAAAAGATAAATCGTACTATAAATCTGAATATATTTATTAAAAGAACTTTCTATTAGTAATCAACAGTTCTTAAATTATCATTTGACAACGAAAAACAATACCAAAAATAACAAGAAGTATTTTTAAACTGCACATTTTTGAGATCTGTCGATTGTCACAGACTGCCCCGGATCCGGAGTACAATGTGACATACTATGGGGTACTTTGTGACATTACTTATTCTAGGAAAACTTGTTTATAATAATAAGATTTATTGCACATTACCCTTCTTTAAAATATTTTTAGGAGAAATATAAAATTCAGCTTGTTGTTTTGTAGGTTTTTTGCACTTTTCAGGCTCAGCAAAACAATTTCTTCATTTTCTATTCCAACTACCGCCAAATCTGGCTCAAGCGGGAAATAAAAATTGTTATCAACCTTATTGCTAACCTTATGTAAGTAGCTTACATCGTAAGAATCATCTTCATTGCTTTTCAAGAGTTGTGACATTGTCACATAGTGCCCCGTCACACTGTACCCCATAGGCCCAGTAGAAACAAACAATCATAGAAAAAAATTTGTAGGTTACGATACAGGCAAACTATCTACGCGAATTTATCTACAAATACGTGACTTTTCAAGAAAAAAAAAACATATACTTACATAAGTACATCAATCAACACCTTAGAACGAAAACAATACTGGCAATTTATAAGAAAAAAATAGGCCAAAAACACTTTTTTCGTTAAATTTCTGCAGCTTGCAAATAAGAATCCAATTGAAAAGTGTTCCAAAGTGGCATCTGATGCGCTTGTCTGAAATGTATCTAAGCGATGACGATATGGTAAAAAGTGTCACACTGTGTCCTACCTTACCCTACAATGGTTTTATTTAGTTAGTTTCATATATCTAAATATATTAATGTAAACTCTAATGAATCATTAAAAGTTTGTTTCATGCAGTAATCACCCGAGTCAGATAACTATTATTTAGTTAAAAGATGAAACTTTTACTAACTAATCATAGTATCAAACAAAGTCGCTTCCTGCTGTCTGTACGCAGAGATATTTTTAAGTACACAACGAATTTTGAAGCGATTTTTAGCAATATATAGCGTGATTAAAGAGTAAGGTTTATATATATATATAATACCTTTAAGATAATGCGGGCGAAACCGCTGGCGGAAAGCCAATATTATATTTTACATTATAATACTGCACATACTATCATTTAAGTAACAAACAAAAACTCTTTCATAATCACAGAAAATATTAAATTTTGCCACAGTTCATCAGAAAAAGAGGAACTGCTGCTTGAGACCACATTAATTGACAATTTATGTAGATATGTAACCCCGTTGTAATTCAAATGTCCTTTTTATTATTGATTTATGCACTACAGTGTAATCTGCAATACTAGACTTCTTAAAAATTAAGCACATTGTCAAAATAGTTTCTTATTTAATTATCCTAAATACAGTAAACGAAACAATCGAGATCAACCCTAAAGACAATGTAGGAACTCGCCTACAAAGTGAAATACATACATTATCATCTTTTGCAGTCCATTAATAAAAGAATAACCTTAATACAGCAAAATCTGCTGCCGAGGTTATGTTTGAAATTCTATAGGTCTTATATTATATATCTTTATAGTATATTCTAAATTAAACACAATATGATACGCTTACATAATTCACCAGTAACATAGTCGCAGGTTTTATGAATCACTACGTAATTTTTTCAGTGATCGAATCAAGATTGGGGATACTTGTAAAATAATCAACGTAACTGACGTTACTCGAATAATTATTTAGTTAAAGTAACAATGAGCGGGACACATGAAACGAAAAGAACTGGCTGGTTAGGCAAAACTATTTAAGAATAACGATTACCCATTTTGTAACCTCACCGTAGACCGACGCTCTGACAAAAGCGGATCAGCGTGGACATCTTAGAAGGAGCTCAGCAGAGGGCGTCATTCGAACGATGATAATAGTAAGACCATTTTACTGATGAATGATATAATTCATCAGTAAAACATTCTGAACATAGTCAGGGCTGCCGCCGAGGTCAATACTATAGATGGATCTAGGTGGAATCCCCCACTAATACTACAGGTGTCTTCGGTGTTATTGAACATTTTGAACTTGGTCGCTTGCAAACTATAATTTGCAATAGCCTGGTCCAACTTCGCCGCGTCGCTCTCCTTCAAATGCGGAGTCCGCGTTAATTTCCATATCTCGTCTGAAATATTTATTTAGGAAATGTTATCACAACTTTTGAACCAGCTATTAATTACAAGGACCATAATATAAATACGTGTATTAATTTACTCTATGACATTTGTAAATATTTTCATTTATAAATTCTTAAACGCTATCTTAAATTCTTCATGGTATGCGACCACCTAATTATCTAAACATTACTCTAAATATAAGATACAACATCTTTGTCATGCTATGGTGATTCGTTTCCTTTTACTACTTTGAAACGAAAGTAATAAACGCACCTAATAAAATAAATTTAAAGAACATTTTTCAATGCCAATTTATGGGTGATTACATTACTTATTAGCTATAACATAATAACGGATTGTTTTTTCTCAAGAATGAGTGAAAGCAAAAATAATGAAAACGTTATTATAATAACCACAGGATACTTCGTTAGCTTAGAATATTACCAGTTTTTCTGACTAAATAATATAAATGTTAGTGTTTGCCTGTTACTGTAGTTTCCGTGCCGCTCAACCTGACCTCCAATGAACCAACAAATCGATTTCGCTACCGGTCACAGAAAAAAAAACAAATGAACGCAACTAATAAAAAAGACACACTTAAATGGTCAATTAGACGATCGAAACATCTCATCTTCATTTTTTTTAATGCGCTTTTTATGCTTTCTTATGTGAAATTTGTGGTATAATTAGTGGCTTAATGATCCAATTTCAAAATCTGACAGTTGGTTTAACGATAAGGATTTATGGAAAAAAAAATATATATATATTTTTATACTCTTTCATAAAAACGTCGCGGTCGGAATCGCTATTTTACTAATTAGCGCCTGTCTTTTATTTAGAACTAGCTCTCGCTACGACTTTGTCTGATTTAAACAAAAATAAAAGAAAAGAATTCCAAAACATACGTAAAAACCTACGACAAAGAAAAAATATGTGTCGCTTTTTTTCTTGGAAATATTTTAATGTAAGCAACACATTCTTTTTCTTTCGCCTCGGCTCAACTGAATTTGTTTTTCTTTTCTAATAAACTTATTTAGGTATTCTGATAAATTAAGGCCCTGACCCGAAAGAAATCAAATAAAAGATAATATTAGATATTAGAAAAATTTCCTCAGCCTCATTCACCATTGCAGTTTTTTTTAAGGTTTTAATTTTTTTATTATTATTTTTGCTCCATCTGTAACCAAGAGATAAATAAATAAATAAAGAACACCTTATTTTTGTCATCTAAAGAATTTAGGTTTATTAAATTTATCAAAAATAGAAGTCAATTATTGGTCTTGGTATTATTATAATATTAATATGACACACATATAAAACGTTCTCTCTGTTTATCAAAGATTCTTTCACGTCCGTTTAAATTTAAAAAATATTTATAAAAACAAATGTTAATATCTGAAATAATTTTGAGTATTTATTACTTTTAGCAACGTTACTAACGCATATCGTAATTCGTATAATAAAGAAAAACATTTGCAATCATTAGAAATTATACCCCTTTCAATCTTGAAAAGATATTGACTATAAACTGGTTTTAACTTATAATCCTGTAAGTTAAAACCATTGTGGTCTCAGAAAAAAAAAGAAACAAAACATTTAACAAAAAAATAGACAAAGATTCAAGAATAATTTTAACCAACCTTGATTGTGAAATCAAGGGCAGGTGCTTTATGTATTATGCTGTTTTTTCGAAAATTCTGTAACAACATAAACGACAACGCCTAGTAACACAACTTGTGTAAGTAAACAAATTAAAATTACAATAGTCAATAACATTTCGAGCTTAGAAAATACTACCGGAACCTTCTATTTAAGAAAACCTCTGTTACCTAATTATCACAAAAATATATATGTTGGCGCGATATCAGAGCCCCAAGAAATAACATATTAAAGCTTATTAATAATATAATATTCTAACTGATTCCGTGTTTATTTTAAGAGTTATTACTTATGTTAGTCTATAAGTTTGTTTTCTGTGCTGGGTTTAAATAATGTTTTAATAAAAGATGGTTTACTATTGACGCAGTTCAATGCACTTATATTCCTTATAATTTTAATAAGCTGTTAAAACACAAATATTCATCTGTTAAAATCATTCTTAATTATTATCTTTATTTATAAACTGAATTCTTCAGTTTCTTGTCATAACAATTTCTTGAAATTACGTTATGTTAGTTAATATGAAAACGATTATTTCATTATTCAGTTATACGATACATCTAGTCGTTTATTCATATGATTACATCTATTACCTTACTCGTATTAATTGTTCAAGTAAAGGTCGTGATGTGACCTTACTATAATCGATTGTTATTTAAGTAAATTGAAAATTAATTATACATAACACCGCCTAAGAATTATATACTTCATAATATTTTCCACGAACATTTAATCACGTTTGAAGTATTTAAGTGTACTCATTTAAAAAATAACACTGATTTTTTTGTAGCAACTCTAGTTTATAAGATTTTTCAAACTACCCGCATTTTAGTTGACAGTGCATATTCAATGAGTTTCAACTAGTGTATTATTAGTTTTTTTCACAATAATAAACGATAGATACGAAGAAGAGACATTTTTTGAACGATCCAGACAGTTTTTGTGTTATTTGTTGTTTGCAAAATATTGTAAATAGATCACATACTTCGTTAAATCACGATCCTATGTCAGCAGTAGCTGAGCCACTACCCTTTTGCACTATAACAAAATCATACAATACCTGTTTAACAAAACTATTTAAAGCAATAAAGATTTTTTCAATTTTTTTTCATTCATTTTTAAAATCTGCGTATTTTACCTATTTTGGAGTGAATATTTACAATCTGCAGAAACCACGGGTGCCAAATACTGTGTGTCAAAATTGTGTTGTCACTTTGTGACAATGGTTAATGGAAAAATATCTGCACTTAAGTTCCAGACACCCATGAGCTGGCGGGAGCTTCGTAATCATGATTGTTATTTTTGTATGGTTAACATTACAGGTTGTACACTCTGCAAACCCGGATAAATGGTCCTACCTGACTTTGTCCGCTGCTTAGAGGCCTCTTACATACTCTGACCAATCATTAGTACCAGCACTATCAACAAGCTTAGTATTATGAAGCAATTGGTCAAAGCCATTAATAGACAGCGATTAATATTGCTTATCTCGCAAAAAAAATCCTGGACTGAGCTGAAAGCAAGCATTTTCGATGAAGCACTAATCACGTGGAACGAGAACGTGGAAATATTTCGTATCAGCGATACAACATTTACTAGGGAATCGTAAATTATAAAATAATTTACAATTAGTTTACGATATGTTGTCTAATTTGAAACTTCTACAGTGCTATTATTTAGCATCAGAGTAAATTTACACTAAAGGTGCAATTTTACTATTAGTCCAAATTCATATTATACAGGGAATAAACAAACATACTACTTTCTAGGAGTAAATATAACTCCCTAAACAAAGGTTAACCTAGTAACCTTTGCTTAATCTCTGTTTAATAATATTTGAGACTAACTCTGTAAACTTACTCAAACGCTAAACCTTGTTTGTAATTTTGTTGTAATATTAAACTAATACTAAATTTACATTCTCAATTAAATCGATTTACTGAAAACCATGGAGATTACAGTGAAGAGAAAGGTAAATGGTTTCACGAGGATATTCGCACGATGGAAGAAAAATGTAACTAAGGGAGGTGGGACATACATATGTTGGCCAATTACTGCTGGAATGGTCGTAGGGATCTAATACAGGCGCCTCATTCAAAAAATTTTCCCTAACCACAGTAACCATTTCAATGAAAGTGTGAAAAAAAAATCATAGATTTGTATTAATTTTTAAACTGTGTCTAAATTTGAAACTAGAGCTGCTAGAAAAAACCAATGGTATTTCATAACCAGTACACTTTAAATATAAACAACTCAGTCAGTCTCACTTGGAAACACTTCTAATTATAGGTCACATATCTTAAACTTAAATAAAACTCAAGAATGAGAAAGCTACATTACATTTCTAACGATTTTGTTACAGTTACTTGAGTTTATAAAAATCCCCATTTATAATTCACCATTATTTTCCATTTTCTTTCTTTTTACAGAGAAAACTAAAAAATATGTTATCACTCTGAAACTAAGTTTTTGAGTATTTAATAAAAAAATAGTTTTTAAACGTTAAAATAAAACGTTAACTTTAAATGTAAACGTTAACATTAAAATAAAAAAAAAAGTCATCCTCTGTCTTTGTCTATCTCACTGACGAGCTTGTTGATGCAATCTCGTTTTCTTATTTTATAATCTCATTTAACTTATTAAATAGGCAAGCTTTAAAACTACTGGAATCCAAAATCTTTCAGCCATTAGACGCTATATCATACGCGGATGACATTAGTTATCTATACTTATATTAAAAAAGAAAGATTTGATTATTTGTTTGTATCAAATAAGATGTGAAACTACTGGATATATTCTTTTAAATTTTGTTTTTTTTTTTACCTACGTGTAGCTACATCAAACGGGATTAACACAGGTTATAAACTACGGGTGCGAAATCTTGGTACATCTAGTGTATGATTTATAAGAGGGAACAAAGGTAGTTCCTAATAATTTTAACCAAAAGGTTTAAAGGAAACGGAACCAGAAGAGGAGTTCGATGATATTGTGGTTACAGTATCCGTCGGCATTGCGGTGGTTAAAAGCAAACTTTCGTGAAAACCGACCTTAGAATGGGTGACCAAAAACATAATGTTACAACCTCACCTTTGCTTCAGAAGACACGTCAAACTATATGCTACATCATCTTACAGCCACATCCCTTCTACTTACAAACGTTAACATTAAAAAATTCGAATTCACTTCAAAAAGTGACATCCGCTCATCCTTGAATCGGTAATAACCTTTCGTGGCATACTGAAGTGAGTTTCGAAATGACAATTTGGGTCTGGATTTTAAGTTCGCACTACGAACACGTGAGTTATGGCACATTTTCTTATTATTTCCTCAGTATGCCTATATCAGTAGTAGGGATTAGCTGATAATGATGGTAATTAATAAGATCCCCTTATGAACGAAGACCTTAAAATACAAATTCCAAATGAAGGTCAAATATGCTCTTCCAGTACGTCGGCACGTACGCACCAGTCGCACGATACGCAACGCGTTGCACGGATCTATCTTGGTTTAACTAAGATTGGAATATAAGAGTTGATACGGCACACCTTATGTCGGACCAACATTATGCTGGGGATCCTGATTAATCTAGCTATGTATGGTTTTATATTATTGCTTTCTAAATGTGAATAGAAAGCAACAATATAATCATTCATATGTCAGCACTCACGCACCGGCCGTACGACATGCAACGCGTTGCACGGATTTGTCGATGGCATACGTCCACGGGTGTCATACGTTTTAACACCGAGATTATTCTGATGATGTCATAAGAATTTTAATGTAATATTTTTAGTTAATTGGCATGGCAGTACAAAATACCCAGTTACTTACAATTGCTACTGTTTCCATCATCATTGTCGGAACAGGTGAACAACGCAGCGTAGTGCTCGTAGTCGACGTCTAGAAAGGAGTAACTTTCCGATTTCTGGTCTGGAAATAAAATAAAAAAATATTTTTCATTGCTGAGTCGAAAAGCACACTAAGCCCATTCAAATTAAAGATTGACCTCGAAAGATAAAATAAGACGAAATGACGAAACCCAATGATGATCTATGAGGAAACCACTATTAACTATTTGATCTAATATTATCATGGATTTAATCTCAGATTTAATAATGGTCCAATTATCTATAACCACCGAACCACTATAAAAACCAAAGAGTAAATAAAAACACAATAAAAATATTGAAGTAAAACAAACATACAAGTAAAAATTGTCAATAAGTTAAAAATAAATCAAAATTGTCATTTCTATTCTTCATCCTCTGGCAATGAATATCGCTAGAACTGCTTATTCAAACCATTCCTTAAGCAGAAAACTGTATCCAATGCTCTATAATACACGTTCCAAAACTAATAAGATTGTCGACATCTGCACTCATACTGGCCAAAAATGGGATTCCCATGACTACAGATTGGCGAGATTCGACTTAACCCCGAAGTTAGTAAATAGGAACTGGGCAGTCAATTTGATATCAGAGATACCTCCGAGGGAGATACCTGACAGGTAAAAATACCATTCATTTTAATTTAACAATAAATATCAGACAACATCACATACATTGCTCAGATTCCAAGATGAGTAACTATAACCTCCAGTGTTATGGAATAAGGTAGAAGACCCTGTTTTGGCCACTGTCCTCTTATTGCCCATTTTGAACTTCAAAGCGCTTTAACTATCGCATAGGCAAAATATATTACTTTAACATTAATGGTTTTCAAAATGTTGCATTGTAGCGAAAATAAAAGCATTAACAGCTATGATATGCTGACTTCTAAGTGACCTGAAAATAGTCAAAACTGGGTCATCATTTCAAAATGGCCTAGTCTTGGCTACGAATGTAGTCATATACGTTACTTGATAAATAACTCATTTGAGTAAAAAAAATATCCGCTGTTAGTCTAATTACACCGATGGTTTTATTATTGTTTTATTATTAAGAGTTGATGCAGCACACCTTATGTCGGATCAACATTATGTTGGGGATCCTGATTGACCTAGCTATTTATAGTCTCATATTGTTGCTTTGATTTTATGTAAATAAATGTTTATTCTTCTTCTTCATGTTACTTGCAGAATAAAATATTTTTGTTCTTTTGTATTCTAATATGTGACTATTTGTAGTACAGGTTGTGTTCCTGCCAATCGTTCCTCTCTACCTCAAATTATCTTATTTTAATTAAATTTTAATTTAATATCCAGGGTGGTATGGTGCGATGGAGGCAGTGGTCCTGAAGGCCATCCGAAGATTTACATTAATTTGGATAAACCGGGACCAAATGTTTGTGGCTACTGTGGTTTGCGGTTCATTAAAAAGGAGATTCATTAATTTTCGTACTGTTATCAAATTTTCATTCATTAGTTTCAACTCAAGAATAGTACTGAAATAAAATTCTTGAGAATATCAATGTTGAAATTATCATTTCTCGTTATACCATATTTTGTAGTTACAAAATATTACAAAATATGTTTGTATAGTTACAAACACATCTAATTATTAAAAACCAAGAATTACACAATAGATGTCATATGGTAGCACTTTAAAAGTTACAGGTGCACATTTCAAGCTCATTGCTGCAATTTTTATAGTACTTTGTTTTTATAACACGGTTTCTTACAAAATAAAACTATAAACTTGCGCGCACTGCTAGACGATCTTGGCATTGATTCTGATTTTGAATCTTAAAGTCGCATGATTATTTTATTATATTTTTAAGTTTAAGTCATTTTATTCACATTAAATCCAATGAATCCAAGAGCATATCTCTCATATCATATCTAAGAGCATATCTAAGCTCTCATCAAATAGTTTGTAAGTTACTTTGTAATTCAAGCAGTTAGCCACCCTAATAAAGTAAAATAAAAAATAAAATAAAATATCTCCCAGATATTTAAGACGACCAAATTCCGCCTAAGCATTTACCAGTGATACCAAGTATAATTACAAAAACTTACCAGTATATGTGACCTGAAGCAAATCTCCCAACACTGTACTGTTGCTGTTGGGGTCAACGATGATGGAAACAGATCCGTTGTAATATGATATGGAGTTGTTCGCTACCCAGCTGATAGATACATCAGTGGAGTTCATATGATTGAACATGAGCATGGCACAGTCGGCTTCCACTCGGAGGTCTGACGCGATCGCTGCGATGTACCATTTGCCATCAAGCTAGTGGGAATTAGAAAATAAATACAATCTCTAATACAAAAGTTTGTCATAGTTATACCATTTTACTGAATATTGTATGGAATAGGGTGATATTTAAGTTGACTATCTGACTCTATTTATAAGTGTTCACAGGTATGAGTTTACTTTCAGACTGTTTGATGTTGAATGGCCACTTACAAATGCATTATTGTTTATATTACAAACTAGCTTTTGCCCGCGACTTCGTCCACGTGGTAAAGTTACTTTGAGCAGCATTTCTAACGAATATTTATTTATTCGTTCCATTAGGTACTGATCGGTTCAAACTAATAAATTTACATCCTCCATCATCCCTTATTTTATCCCCATGCGGGTTGAATTTATCAAAATCCTATTTAAGCGGAGGTTTTCATCATAGTAGCTCCAATCTTTAATTTCAGTTCAATCAGTCGAAATCTAAGAAGATTTATACAAATTTTCTTCCCGTATTTCATTCCCTTAGGGTTGATATTTATCAAAATCCTTTCTTAAGGAATGCCTACGTCATAGTAGCTTCATGCATGCAAAGTCTCAACCCGATCGGTTTTTTAAATTATCAAAGTTTCATACAAACTTTCATCCCCTATTTTATCCCCTTAGGGTTGATATTTATCAAAATCCTTTCTTAAGGAATGCCTACGTCATAGTAGCTTCATGCATGCAAAGTCTCAACCCGATCGGTCTAAAATTATCAAAGTTTCATACAAACTTTCATCGCCTATTTTATCCTCTTAGGGGCGGAATTTATCAAAATCCTTTCTTAGGAGATGCCTACGTCATAACATCTACCGGCATGCCACATTTCAGCCCGATCCGTCCAGTGGTTTGGACTGTGCGTTGATAGATCATTATGTCAGTCCTTTAAATTATATATATTTAGATGTCACAGATTACATCGCCACAGAGTGGACGACAGAGATTATTAAACAGATGTGCCACACCATATTATATACATATTTATGCCAGCTTACTAGTAGGAGAGGCGTGATATCTAAACATTAGAAACGTCGGTATACAGATGTGATAGACAATTATCTCCAGTTCCTAGCAATGTCGAAATAATTGCTCTTCTATAAATATCAAACTGATAAGTGAAAGTTGACCTGTTGCGACGGCAATTTCGTCTTCAAACTTTTATTAGTCTTTTTTCAGACATTGTCCAAATGTGAAGTATGTAATATCATATATCAATAGAATGGGGGGAATTCAGTACCCTCACCTGAACTCTATAACACGGGAAATCTGTCTTTTTTATACTAATTCGCGCTGTTATATTAAATACACATTTGGCATATAAATCTACTTTGGCAATAAAGTGTAATGGTACCATCAGTTAAATATTATATAATTTGAGAATTAAATAAGTAAAATCTATATCTAGGGCTACTTTTGCCCAGTTTTCTCTTGTACGGGGTATTCGAATTACTTCATTAACCTATGACCGATATTGAATTTGGAGAAAAAAGATTTTAATGTTTGTTTTCTAGCATAGAATGTGCTCCTAAACTATTGGACCACGGTGGTAAGTATAACCTTTAAATTAATGCGTTTACTAGTGAGCTCGTTGAGAATTTATATGAATATTTGTAGTTCTTGATAGTTACTGCTAGGGGCACTGTACACCGGATTCGATACTAAAATCTTCGCGCTCTCGCGATTGACGACAAACATAAACGTCTTAAGAACTTACACTTTAAGCACTCTGATTTTAAAATTCTGTCACCTATGGGAAGCTCTCTTACGCGAGAGACATCATACATACATATTTTGTCATATAATTTTGATGTGAATAATTTAGGTAATTCGATATAATGCGACATTATGGAAACAATTTTCCTAATTTGGAATATTCATTAAAACTTAAAATCGTAAATAAACATTAATGGAAGTTTGTGCAACTGGGCAAATGTCGCTTTGAACTAATGGCAACTCTAATGGCGTTTGTGCAACTTGGTGTAAGAACATAAACTTACTGCTTTCCAATCCAATTCTCTGGGAGTGATCTTTGGACAGGTAGTGTTTCTCAAAACCGATTCCACTGTGCACAGAAAAAACCCTAAAAGAACACAATAGACTAGCATGATGGGACTTTGTCGTCGCGAATCGCGAACCACGGATGCGTATCAACTGAACCGAGAGTGACTGTTTTTCCTCATTTATAATGGTTTTTTCCGTTACTAGATCTCTTTTTATTGTGAAAAATTACTTTTCTCGAGTTACAAATTTTTATTTCCCTAACGATATAAAAAGTCCTAATAAACTTTCATATATTTAAAAATCTACCTCAAAAATTAGACTATTTTTAGTTTCTCTTTGTATATATTGTTTTAAAATTGAGTTTAGCTAACGTAAAAATTACATTTAAGTCTTTGTGGTCAGAATAAATTTCTCCACTTGATTTGAAATCTTGATACCTTATGAATGTAGAATTTAAATCAATTGGAGAAATTTGATATATTGTGATAACGTGCAGATAATAAATTAATAATTAATAAGCAGATAATAGTTATGACTGATACATTCTTGTAGTGCTATTCTGTTACAGATATAAGCCCAAACTCTAAACCGAGCGTAACGCTGTTATAGCATAGAGGTTCAATGATATGAAACCTACTTCGAAAGTAATAAAATAAATATATTAAACCTCTATGCAGCGCTGTTTTCTGTGGTATTTTTATCTTTTAAAATAGCGTAACTGTCCAAGTGTGCGGCCGTCTAACTCTAGCTTGCTATCACATTGTATTCTATGGGTAGAATTAAAGCTAGAGTACTTTTCCGGCACTGATACGTAACTGATAGAATCGAGCTTTAATGAAAGTGAAAAATCAATAGTCATACGGACCTGCCTATCAAGCCCCATCAACCAACGATAAGACGCCATATGCCAGACTTACGCTAGTCGATGGGTTCAGCTCATTCAGTTAAAGCCACCACTGCGCACTCATTTCATTGTTAAAAAAAAATTACCGACCAATGAATGCAGTGAACAGTATAATTCTATTTCTACGAAAACGAAATTTTCGAAATACTAATACGACTCGAAATACTTATTTTTCGATTATTTATTCTGCATCAGATCTTAGACCTGACACTGCTTCTAATGAAAATAATCTCCATGGACATGAACAAAATAAGAAGCGTTCTTACGCCATTTTAACTGACTGACTCACGAATAATACTCGTATAAGGAACCTTTTGTTGAGCTCCAAAAAATTAGATCAAGTCAAGTAGTAAGTAAACGATTAACTAACTGAAGATTACAGAATAAATATTTTATTTATACCAATATTATGAAAAGGAAAGATTCGATTGTTTGTTCATTTGTGTATTCGAAACTACTAAACCGATTTTAAAAATTCACCTACGGGAAGCTACATCATACACGGGTAACATAGGCTAGAATTTAAATTTGCCAGTTATAGGCAAAGCTATTTAGTTTACAATTTTTAACTCTATTTATGAATTTTCATATTTTTGTTGTAATTATTTAGTTGAATAATCCAAAACCGATTAACGTTATTTTGATGATAATTCAGATAAACCATAACCAGAATATGAAATTGTATTAGATAATCCAAAATCAATTAGCGTTATTTTGATAATAATTCAGATAAACCATACCCAGAACATCCTTCATCATGAGTCACACTTCTGATACGAATCACAAGATATAAAAATACTTATTTCGAAAGAAACAAAAAAAAAGAGTCGACACAACAAGTCAATGTTATCATTTTATCTCAATCCAGATGCGGATAAAACGAAATCTCTCGAAACTACCTCAGTACGTGCAAAGATAACTAACAAAGTGAACATTCAAAATGAAGTTTATCTCATTTATACTGTACGTTACAATTTTTCATATAAATAATAATGTTAATTGTCAGTTGCTCAATTTTGGACCTTGCCCGGAGGTAGAAACTGTGAACTTTTTCGATATAGAGAAAGTAAGTATCGTTTGCACTTTGAAATGGGGCAGAAAATCCGGTTATGACCATTGCCCCTTTCTTGGCCATTTGGCCATTTGTCATGATTAATTAACCTAACGATTAAAACCTTAAAATGGCTAAAAGCGTGTTATCAGCCCTATAAAGCACCGATTCTGTAAAAAAAAATCTCATCGAAAACAAAACATGTACAAAAATGTACAAGTCTCACAACGCAATTCTTCTGTTTATGTATGCCTAAATCTATGACAAGGTTGGATAGTTGCTCTCATAGAAAGATACTGTATTAATCGACTCGATTTACGTTGATTTCATAACTTTTTAGGGTAGAAGAATTGCGTTGTGAGACTTGTGTATTTTTGTACCTAGGTATTTTGTTTATGATGAGATCTCATTTTTTTAGTAGGTAGTTCTCCTTTTTTTCTTTTCGGGTATTATATCTTGAGCTTCAGCTACGGCCATCAACAATCACTCACTCTCTGTCGACTTTTAAAAAAGGCGTTAATGTATTGGATTTCGATAAATCATATGATAAATCTGCTCGGTAAATGCATCTACAATAAGGGATTTATTCAGAATACAACCAAAGTTAATATTAATTAGATATAAACAGTTTAGGTATGTCGTTCTCAAAAGTACCACATATGCTTTAATTCATGTAATTACTGAAAAATCAACTTGTGCCCTTGTCTCTTATGTATCGATCATTGCCTATGGATACATTAACAAAGCCCATTTTATATAATAATAATAATCTTTATTTTATTTTCTTCTATATTTTGAGCAACAAATGTGTTCAACATAAAAATACAGCAAGTTTATGTAGAAGACAGGAGTCCAAACTAGGTAGACCCCGTTCTATGGCACTCCTGGCCTCCACCTCTCGAATTAATAACCACAATGCCACTTTTAAAGAAAAGGTTTCAAAACAATGAAAAACAAAAAAAGTATCACATCAAGTGTTATATACGTTGAGACGTATGCAAGCGAGTGGGCGGATGTGTGCATTTTTGTGTTTGTGTGTGCTTGTGTGTAAATGTATGTGTTTAAATTATGTATATATTATGTAACTATGGTATGCACAAATAAGTCCAAATGTTAATAGATTTTCCAAAGTTTTTCCTATGGTATTCGTTTCCTTATCATAGATTTTAATATTTATTTATTTACTCATTGGTAAATGTTTGTACGTCAATGGTTTGTATCACGTCTATCCATGGACTTAGTAGTACTATAACAGACATAGGACTCCCAGCTGAAAAGCGAGCCGAGCGAGACATCAAGTACAGAGGCTGTTGGTCTCTTTCAAATAGGGTGAAAATAACATGTTCGTTAAGTGAGGCGTGAGACGGCAAAATAATCTTATATAATTTTTTGTTACATTATATATATTTATTATTGATATTGACTTCTAGGCACTTCGATCGATCTCGATGAGCGAAATCACGAGAATTCTCGATCTGTCAATATCAATCACAAGTCTCCTCACTATCGAAAGAGGAAGAATAAAAAAAAATAAAAGCACCTTCACTAGATGGCGACTGTAGCAAAAGTTGATTTTTATAGGAAATGAATGGACCAAAGATAATCATTTCCGTTCCTTTTAACTAACATATTAAAAATACTGAAATTAGCAAATTTCGAAACTAAGATATCAATGCAAATACGAAAAATTACAAATAGAATATGAGTTGTTTGCTACGATATTGAATTCTACGATATTGAATTCTACGATACTGCTACGATATAAATCAGTTTAGATTCATTAATTTTGAAGAATTTGCGAAGAAACACCCATGTATAATATGTCACCGCCATGACACTTCAAAGGGATACCAGTAGAATAAAAGTAAAGAAATAGCCTATAATATAAATAATAATGATTATAAAATTACTTAATTTTTTTAAATAGTTGCCATTAAAATACTTATGTTTCCATAAAGGTCATTTTAGTAAAAAATAATAAAGAATGATATTTTTTATTAAGGCAAGATGAAAGAACGAGATACACGGCTTGCGTTGTTGTGACTTCCTCTCTCGGCTAGAATTAGCTTCTGTACAAAGAGCAATGAAAAACATACTTTTATTCATAGTGATAATTACAATTTTTCGGAGTTATAAGCCATGTTATATATGTAGCACATATGCTCATATTCACTAAATTTAGGAGTCGCCCAAATCTGTCGCCTTCATCTTAAAAATTCATTTCACCACTGACTAGGATCCACCTAACGAAATTAAGCAATATCTAAAATTATGATATTCGTTATGCGGCGCCTTGCGTTAAGCAAACTAATATACTAAGGCGATTCGTAATATTAAATGTTTCCTATTTAAGCTATGCTCTGGTTAATTAAAATGGGCGTAAGTCCATGTATGTATCACGTAGTGTTAAAATATTCTTTGGTTGTCTTCAGGCTTATTTTATCACAGAATAGCAACTCAGATAGAATGTAATTTTGTGAAAATATTTATTAATACTTAGTATAAACTATCGACTGGCTCGCAGTTCGATCTGCATTTTTTTATTTTATTTTAATACTGCATTTCAAGTAGAAAGATAAAAAGAAGGTTTCAAGTTTCAACCTTTGATTTCAAAAACTTTTGAAGAGATTTGAATGAAAGAAAAAATTCTTAAAGAAAATATTTTTTACCAATATTTCCACCAATTGTAGACCGATTAAATTAATTACCAGCATCTCATCCAGCAATTTTTAGCAGAATTTATTGTAAAGTGTTTGGCTAAAAGCTATCAATACAGTTCATATCTTAATTGTTTTCAGTTTCTCGGCCGATGGTATGTCATGGAAAGGTATCCGACTTGGTATGAAGACGGTCACTGCTCCCACAAGCGATTCGAAGCGTGCGGCAGAAGAATCGAGATCGACCATGTCTTCATTAGGGAAGGCGTACAATTCGTATTCCAAGTGAATAGCAGCTATAATCCTGGAGATGAAGCTGTGTTTGAAATTCAAGATAATATTATCGGTGAGAGCTAAACTGTACAATATCCCCCCACGATATGAAAGTTGGTAATTTTTTCCCCCCACCCCCAAAATACTAAATTCGTGGGGGGATATTGTACAGTTTTACCTCGGTGAGTTTTTACAACGGATTTATTTCAGCTTCTTACTGTTAGATTATTTTACTCTACATTTGCGAATTCTTTTGGAATCAGAGTAGCATAATTTTTGTTACGACTGTACCCTTATTCAATAATTCATAATACCTCAGTCGATTTGATTCTATATTGAAGTATATTTAATATTTACTTATATGTACATTGTAGGTATATTAAATGTGTATTTAATTCACTAAATAATGTGGTAATATTCATGATGCACCTATTGTGAACTGATCGTTATTTTTGCTAAACTTGGCAAAGCCACCGCCATGCCTCCAGATAAAATCAAAAGAGAGCTTGATAATGCAATAGTTAGCGCATCTGATCCGCAACTCTTTGAAGGCCAGACATCGAATGAATGACCAAAAATTTATTATATCAAGTTCCTCCATGCTTCAGATGACTCGTTAAACCGTTCGTCATGGATGCATCTGCAACCTTTATCAATATGCCCCATTTTCTAATAGTGCTCTATCTTCCTCACAAACCAATGGTGACAGATATTTACTAATAATGGACTTTAGGTAGGCATAATGGAAAAATGCAAGTAGTTGAGATTCCATTGAGATGCTATTACCTATTACATAAACATTAGCAGAATTGACCTAAAGATATCCTAATACAACGATAATCTTCAAAAATATTCCTTTAGGGCCTGTTAGGTGCGCGACATTATAAAGTACATGTCATAAAGTTGTTATGATAAAGACGGGATAGAACTTTCAAGTTTATTTATCTCCGTAATGGCACATCGAACATTCTAACCACTACACCATCGAGCTCTCATGCGCCTTTATCTGTAACCACGGTAGTGCTTCCGCCAAGTCGAGCAAAAAAGGCACTTCCTTTTTAAACCCGTCCAAGCCATTTTTTTCACTCATTCACATCTTGGTTTAGATAAAACTTAAAATTTTCAAGCATTTTTCAGTATAGCATTGTGAATACAAAATTGATCTAATGTATTAATTAAAATTTTAATTTTCAATGACCAATAGGGCATTACATAGATATATTATTCCAGCATTTTATCGTATATATTTCAGATAGAATAGGAATACCCATAGAAGTGATAGCAACGGATTATTCTGAACATGCTCTACTGTATGGCTGCAAATATCAGCCAAATTACAACATCAAGTACAGTGAGTATTAACAGGTTTCTTGTAATTTATTTTCAATGCTCACGACGCGTTGTGGCAATAAAGAAAAAACTTGAAGCGTATTGAACCATATTTGATTAGTTTAGGTAAGGTTAGAATCTGACTACTAGTCAAGGGTGGTAGTGGGTACTTACCTGCTGTACTTACTTGATGGCTGGTGCGCCGGGACCTCGATAGTGCCACAACCGCGATGCGACGAGAGGGGGTGTGCCCGTTGACCGGCTGTACTTGCCCTGTCGGTTCCTCAGAGCTGATACAGGGCGTGATCAGGCAAGACACGTGTGGTGCATCGACCTACGGGGGGGGAGAATCCACGATAAGGGTTCGGGCTGTGTGGATCCTCCCAATTGACGGGTAGGGTCTGGAAATTCACAGTCGCGCATCTCCAGTCTGTCGTCAGGACCAATCCGACCGGTTTGCGTGCTGGTCGGGCATTGCAATCCTTCGCCCTGTCTGGGGGGTGGGTCTCGAATGTCTCTTTGACGCATCCCCAACCCGCAGAGAGACCTGCTCTTTTCAGGGCGGGCCGAAATGGCACCGCGCGGTGTAATGCCTTTGGGCTGGTCCAGTGCATCGCCCACATGCAAGGGACATCGCTGAACTCCTGCTTTTGTCTAGCCAGTAGCGAATACCTAGTTAAAACAATTAATACTCAGAACGCTTCGTAGCTTATCCTCCTTGCCACAACGCGTTGAGGTCGAAAAACACGTCAGCTACGACACGAATTCGTGCGAATGTGCGTGACACACGCGTCGTGAGCGTTTCCATTAGAGCACGAATTTCGCTATGTGTATATTTTACTGTGACCACGATGCGTTGTGACCAATTTTTTTGCTCAGTGGTCATTTATATATTTGAAGTCACTATTTGAGGTAATTAGTATAAAGGTTGGATAATTATTGTTAAGAACAAATAATCAGACACACGAGTAATGTTTAATGGTTTATGTTTTCATATGAAGATACAGACCAATAAAAATTGCAAACCCTAAACGAATAAATATTATTTGAAATAAGGATATTTTTTATTTTATTTAAAATCGTTAGCCTTTAATAAAATAAAATTGAAAATTTACAATATGTTATGTGCAATAATGCATTCCAAACAAACAGCAAGAAATATTCTAATTCGATATCTCTTTGCAATTTTAAAAATATCGCGAAAGCTAAAAAAATGAGTTTAACCATAAATAATGTATTATTTCAGTGTTGGCTTGGATACTATCAAGAAATCAAACGCTACCCGATGAAAAGATAGAAAATTTAAAGACTACTCTGAGGACAATACCTTACAGCAGTCCGGTATACATGGAAAGAGTACGCCACGACTCAGACATATGCGCTCACAGTTGGACTGCCCACGTAGATACCATAGAAACTAATGACAATGGAGAATAGACTTTGTGTTCTATGATATTTGTATCTTTTTCCACTGTGATGTCCTAATTAATGACAATGTAAAATTATAAACATAGTCATTTAATTTAGGAAGTCTTGTTGGAATATGAAATGTTTTATAATTATCGTTTATAATTTTGAATTTACTTTTGTTACATTGCATGGCCCATTTCAGCTGAAAAACAAAAGATTGTGTATTTAGAATTCAATCAAAGTCTGAAAGAAGATTTTCTTTATTCAACGACTATTTATACTTTACCCTTTGATGTATATTTTTATGAAAGTCATAGATGGTAGGCATCATTGAGTAATGTATAAGGGTAGCTATGTTAATTGATTTATTTTTAAATTGTAAACCAATTTCTACCAAACTAGCTGATTCCCTTCCTCCCTTCCTTCTTCCTTAAATATTTTTATCATCACCAGCCCTTTTACGTCCCCACTGCAGGGGCTCAGGCCTTCCTTATGGATGGTTAAGGAGGATGGGCCATGACCCTCCGCTGGCCCAATGCGGATTGGAGGGTATTAACGACTGCAAATGCAGCCGCGACCAACGGCTTAACGTGCCTTCCGAAGCACGGAGTAGCTCGAGATAATAGTTTTTTGGTCACCCATCCCGTGACCGACCCTTGCGAAAGTTGCTTAACGACTACACTGAGCTAAATATTTTTATATACATAGATATTTAATATTTTTAATGTTACCTATTATATAAAAATATCAATATCACTAAAAAGCATGAAATAAAAACTTATCATAAAAAGTAGAACCGAATTATTCACGAATATCGTTTAATTAACCACAGAAAACCTCAGCTCGAATTCAATAGCATCTTCTTGAATAATTCGCTTTTAAGATAAATATTACCCTCCAATCCACATTGGGCCAGCGTGGAGGGTCATGGCCCATCCTCCTTAACCATCCCTAAGGAAGGCCTGAGCCCCCGCAGTGGGGACGTAAACGGATTATTTATCACTTTAAGTTTAAAGTCGGTTCTACTTTTACAAAAAGTTTTTATGTAGTTTTGTATTAATGAAATAATTTTTAAAATCGGTCCTATCTTTAGGTTTACTTTAACCATTACAAATAAGTCAAAAATCAAATATTTTTCTTTATATAATTGTTTATTGTTTAAATAGGTACAGGATATTTGAAAGTTGTCGGTTCTGTTGGAAAATCGTCGTAATATTTCGGGCTGCATTTGCTCTGGTCGTCTCGAATCAATTTTTCTGATAGTAAGCCGATCTGTTGCAATGGTCTCATTGCTAGCTCTTTGGATACATCGTTCAGTATTGGATTCCTTGATAAAATCCACACGTAAACTGAAAGAGATGTAAAATTATATAAGTATTGTTCCATCGATACGTACAGTTAATTGGGCTCAATTCTGTTAAATTAACACAAAATGGATGATGCCTTTTTTCTAATATAAAACAAAATAAAATACTTACTGAAATGTTTATCAATGAGAGGACTGTATTGACATGTGAAAGCAGTAGCATAATAATTGTAGTTGGTAGCTAATACTCGGAATTGATACTTTCTAGTCTTCACTGCAACAGAAAAATAAAGCATTTTTATATTCTTTATAATAATATTATAAATAGGAAAGATTTGATTGTATGTTGGTTTGTTTTTTTTGCATTGAATATAGTTCGAAACTACTGGACCGATTTTTAAAATTCTTTCACCAACGGGAAGCTAGATCATACGCGGGTGAAGTTCCTGGAAAACAACTAGTCTATACGTAATGAAACGAATTTCAGGTGCTCTATGGCGTAGCGGTTAGCGCGCTCGGTCTGCGATACATTTATTAAGCAAGTTTGGCAATGGCTGAACATAAAATGGGCAACCAAGAATTTCCTTTATGCTTCGGAAGGCACTTTAAGCTATTGCTCCCGGCTGCGTCTGCAATCGTTAATATCACCAATCCGTTCTTGATCCGCGCGGTCATTCACGGCTCATTTTTCTTTTCTTATTCGATGATGATAATTTTACAGTCCAGTACGGTAATTTTAATATTCAATGAAGATATCATAATTATACACTATGAGACAATCGAGACTCAAGAATGGGTTAGGGGCTTTTAAGCTCTTCGGATTTGCGAGCATTAGGTAGTGATCACTGTAAGAAAACTGCACACAGTTTTGGTAAATAAACAATATTTTGATTTGATGTGAGAAGCTTGGTGGCGTAGGGTATTTGCAGCCAGGACCAAAGTTAATAACGTTAGTCCCAGCTGCAAATACCCTCCAATCCACATTGGGTCAGCGAGGTGATTTATGGCCCATCCTCATTAACCATCCAAAAGGAAGGCGAAGGCGTGAGCCCCTGAAGTAAGAACGTTAAAGAGGGTCGATGATGATGCGTCCATGACAGTGCTTGCGACTGTCTATACGTGGCAGCGGAGTAAAAGGTGTGACGTGATACCATTAAACATGGTGGAATATAAGGCACTTCTTCAACCGATGTATCCGTCCTTAACAAGACTTTCATAGAAGTCTTTGGCTTCGACCTATTTATTCATACTAATATTACAGCCTTGTACAGCATTACGTAAATTTTAGATTTTCCGCAACTCACAAGAAATCTTATACAAGAAATCTTAAGTTTAGAGCGAGGTTATCCGTGGGAGAGCCACGCTTCGGCATGAATGGGCCGGCTCGACCGGAGTGATACCACGGCCTCACAGAAAACTGACGTGTGAGTGACCGATGTTTCGTCGTGTGAGTGAGGGTACCGGAGGCCCAACCCCTCCCTATTCCCTTTCCTCTACCCCTCAACCCTTCCCTCATATTCGTCCCTCAAAGGCCGGCAGCGTGCTTTTGGCCCCTCGGGTGTTGCATGTGTCCATGGGCGACGGTAATCACTTACCATCAGGTGATCCGTCTGCTTGTCTGCCCCTATCCCATAAAAAAAAGAGTTTAATCAGAAAACTTACATCTCCTTGGTGCATTCTGGTAATTGAAAACTAGTTCCAAATCACCGCTCTGAGAACCGTGTGCAGGCGGTGGAACATTAGCGATACTGTATCTGTGGAACAAGCCCCGGTCGATCCTGGACTGGTTGAAGCTGAGAACTGGGTAATTGTCGCTGTTCGATTTGAAACTTATTTCAAGAGTGGAACAGTTGTTCTTCTTCTGACCATCGCTGGCGTAGTAATACGCTTGATACCATTTGCCGTGGAACTGAAATTGAAAATGGAAATGAGCAATACTTTATTCATATAAGCTTATTACAAGCACTTTTGAATCGTCCAATTTTTTTCCTAACCATTCGTTCACGATGTCTTTTGGCTAACAAGAAGGACAAGCAAAAGAAACTTACCAGATCTTTATCAGACATTTACATTACAAACTGAACAAATGACACACAAGTATAAATTTAGCCTATAAAAAAGTACAAGTACAAAGAGAAATGGAATAAAATATGGTGAATATTAGGGGAAACTTTGTATTTCCTTTTCTATCGAGAAAATTTTATAAATTCACGCGTAGGCCGTGGCAAAATCCTAAGAAACATGATATAGTTTACTAATTTTGAATTTAATCTTATTTAAACGCTATTTCTATGCTTCAATGTCAGTGATTTTGAGTGTACACGCTATTTTACGGTCCGCAAAACGTCGTGTGTTAAATGATCCATTTAGAATCCAGTTGTAGAAACATTAAATGTTTTTGCAACTGACTGTAATCTTTGATATGTTATTGTGTATTGCACTAGAGAGAAGTTAAATACTAAACTGTGTTTAACATGTGTTTAAGTCTCTAAGGTCTCTGTCTCGACAAATACTATAAATAAACAACTCAATGTTATGTAATACAAAAAATGTGCGTGTCTGATTTACACTTGACTAATTTTACAAATAATATCTACTTATTAAGCCGAAGTTACTGATGGAAATTTTGAATATAAATTAAGGACATCATTAAAAAATGTTAATTTAAATGGAAATAAAATGGAAGGAAAGAAGAATAGACTGATATACTGTGTGATAAATGGAAGAAGAAATAACTGAATTTTCAGATGAAAACTAAGCAATTACGATACTCACATCAGGTATACTAAAGTGTTCCATAACAGGAACATTTTCCGGACATTTTCCTGGCAAAGTGAAGTAACCAAAAGCGCCTGTCGCACAAAACACTAACAATATTACTTTCAGCATTATCACTGTTGCTGATGCTAACAGCTTAAGTGTAGAACTAAATACTTATATGAGAGCCGGTGTTCAAACGACAACAGAGGTTATCTTGGAGTCGTGTAAATTATCTGTTTTATTAAGAGGAATTGTTTAATTAAAATAGTTCAAATTGTTTACATGTATACTTTTCCCTTTATTTTTTTGTAAAGTTCTTCTGAAACTTTGTTCATTTTGTGCATTACGTTAGAAGAACTGCTGAGTGCTACAATAAACTAAATTTATCCAATCGGCTTAAACTACATATTTTAATATTGATTGTAGAATTTTTCTTTTGTTATTGAAACCTTGCTGTTTAAACCAAAGAGTGGTATATTGCAGAAACGATGTGCCAATTTAGTGTGCATTAATGATACGTGAATTATTAATGATTTTTTCGCAATCTAAATTACAATACTGAAACGAGATTTAAGGCTCTGCGCTTAGAAATTATTAGCTCTTACGTAGATTAAAAGCTACCAGTCAATATTGTTACTCCTTACGCAGACATTACTTATTATAAACCTCTAATCTCATTTTATGCAGTGAATACCTGTCTCAAAAAATGGCAGAGCGGTCACAAGTAGATATTGTCTACACTGATTACAGTAAATGTTTCGATAGAATTGATCACTTACTATTACTTCACAAGCTCCAATCAATGGGTATACGGGGTAACTTATTTCGGTGGTTCACTTCATACATTCAAAATAGAAGTCAGACAGTAGCGCTTGGTGGTTATTTATCTCTATCAATGCCAATTCCATCTGGTGTGCCTCAGGGATCCTTATTGGCACCTCTACTTTTTAATATATTTATTAACGACATTTGTTCGTGCTTTAAATACTCAAAGATCATTATGTATGCTGATGATATGAAGATTCTGTGTCCTATAAATTCTGAACCAAGTGCCCAACTTCTGCAGGACGATCTTTTCAGATTTGAGGACTATTTTATGGCTAATAAGTTGGAGCTTAATGTCTCGAAGTGTTATGTGTGTTCGTTCACTCGTAAACCCAATCCGATCACGTTTAATTATAAACTCCTGGGTGTTGATGTTACAAGAGTGGGTTGTATTCGGGATTTGGGAATAACCTTTGATACAAAATTGCTTTTTGACATTCATATAAATGACATCATAGCTAAAGCGTCAAAGGCACTCGGCTTTATATTGCGTATCTCATCCGACTTTCAGTCGGGAAAGACCTTTAAAATCCTTTACTGTGCTTTTGTGCGTAGTCATTTGGAGTATGCCTCGCAAGTTTGGAATCCATCCTATAATGTCTATATTACGCGCATTGAAAAAATACAAAAGCGTTTCTTGCGTTACTTGCAATATAGGACTAAGACTTTTACCCCGGATTACATTGAGCGTTGTCATAGATCCAGTTGAGGTCACTGCGTCATCATCATATCAAGCGTTCGACGCCCACTGCTGGGCATAGGATCTCCCCATAGTTCTCCACGACGATCGGTCTTGAGCTGCCCGCATCCAGACCGATTGCAAATCAAAAAGTGATTGGTGCAAGAATTAGGAAACTAAAAGTCATCCACCAAACCGTATTGGGACCGCGTCGTGGGTCATATAGGATTTAATTCGACTCTATCCATAGGGAAGGCTTCAGCCTTCTTCAGCACTGGGCTGGGAAGGTCCTAAGAACAATGGCTGGTGGTGATGATGACAGTTATTGACATTCTACTTCTGGTAATCTCAGACTTTCTCTATCCGATTGGCTGACCTATGGATTGTTTTCTCTTTAGTTTTATACGCAATCTTAATAGAAATATAATATTAACAATATAAATAAATTGCGGTATAGTATAAGTAATGAATACTTCTTAGAAACGCTTTTATTTTTTAATTGTTCGGGGAATGTTATCTGTTGTTTATTGTTTAAATTATGAGATCTCCGAATATAAAGCTGTATTTACAATAACTATTTTGCTACCTCACTCAGCGGCGGCAATTTTAAGTAGCTATCTCTACGGTTCTGATTTCGATTCCCTGTCGAGTCAATGTAGAAAATTGCCATTTTTATATAGTCTCAGGTCTAAGTTTAATCTCTTATTATATAGATTCAAGTTGAAGTTAATACTGAATACAAAATTGTACGTCAATACCAGAATTAGAAATTACTTTCGTTTATAACGTGTACATACATGTGCAATGAATGCTTATTAATTAAAAAAAGGCTTATACTTATATAAGACTCTATTTTACAGAAGAAAATAAAAAAAAAATCTTTGTAAATTATTCAGCTTTGAATAATGTCCCTGATATTTTGAATTAGCTACATTAATATTAGAAAAAACAAAGAAAGCAATAACCGAACTATTAATCACTAGTTGGTGGTTTGTTTGTTTGCACTAAATGTGTTCAGACAGTACTGGGCCGATTTTAAAGATTCTTTCATCTTTGGGATGTTACATCATATGCGAGCGTTATAATCACAGGTTATAATAAACTCGTATTTACGAGGACGAAATCGCGGGAAAATAGTTAACAGTTATGCCCGTTTTCACTAAACTTAGGGGTCGCCTAAATATTTAGGAATCGCCTAAGGTAAAAATTTCACCACTGACTAGGAACCACCTAACGAAATTAAGCAATGTCTAAAATTATGATATTCATTATGCGGCCCCTTGCGCTAGGCGTTTGCGTATATGACAGGTCATAAATATGTCAAAGAATAAAAGTTTTTTTTAATTTAGTTTTAAACTAATTTGCTTAGGCGATTCGTAATATTAGGCGTTTCCAACTTAAGCTATGCCTTCTTCTAGATTAGTCTTTGAAATGAATATTTATTTGTTGTGAATTTCTCCTTCTTTTTTGTACAAAACGACGGTATAATTAATTTTAAACGAACTACGCTAGAAGCTAAACAATCTAGTGCAGATCACATCTAAATGTGATGGCGAAATGATATCAATGACATTTGAAGGGACAAACATTAAACGTAATATAAACATGATGAACTAAATCTACTCAAAGGATGTATACATTGTTGAGAATCCGATACCAGCAATTTGCAAAGCAATTTCAATGTAAAACGCCTTTATAAAACAGGGGTCATCTCATTGGATAATTAAAGCGTGGGACGGACGAGTGCTCCACTCTCGGCGCACTCTCGAACCGACTAGTATATGAATCTGTTATAATGTTATCGCTTACATTGTTTTCACTTATCTTGGCGAGTGTATTAGGGGCGGAATTCACTTTACCTGGCGAATGTCCGAATGTGGAGTTGCAGCAGAATCTTGACTATACCAAGGTAAGTTGACTTTTCTTTATAGTTCACTGGCTGTTTTCCTTCGAGTTATCCTGCGTAAATTATAACCTATGTCAGTCGCGTATAATGGAGCTTCCCATAGGTGAATTTTTAAGTAGTTCCAGTAGTTTAGAACCTTGTTTAATGTAAACAAGTAAACCAACGAACACCCAAATCTATGCTCTTTATTAAATTAATTTATATAATTTCATAAAAAAAATAACACTGTCTGTCATGTAGTAAAAATAACTGCATTTTACTACATTAACGAAATAGGCTCGACCATTAACATCAAATTATTAAATTAATTAATTTAATTTGTAGATTCTTTTCTTTATAAATATCAATCACAGTTTCCATTATCAAAGCTCCGATTGAGGCACTCAAAATAATATACTGCAAATCTCAGATTAGTTTCAGTACTCGATCAAACAAATCAATATGGATTATTTGATAATTATAAACATATAGATATAGTCGTTTTGTTAAAGCATGAATGCATTTTTTAAACATGAGATCATAAAAACATGCCTACTAATATTATAAATGCTAAAGTTGGTGAGGATGTTTGTAACTCTTTCACGAAAAAACTACTGCACGGATTTGGATGAAACTTTACAGTATACATCGGAATAACACATAGGGTACTTTTTACCGCGGGAAAACTTCTCATTCCCACGGGAAACCAACTTTGACGCGGACGAAGTCGCGGACTGCCGTTAGTAAAATATAAAGTTATTATCACAACATAGTTTCAGTTCCTTTTTGTCTGTTTTATTCCCTGTGTTTATTGCAAATAAATTGTATTACTTGCGCTAGACAGAATTTGTAGAATAAAAACCGTCAAAATGGGAGTCGGACTCTCGCACAAACGGTTTCGTACCATTATCCATTAAAAAGTTTAAAAAATCACGTTTGTTGTTTTCTATAGAGTTGTTCGAAATTTTCGAGTTAAATACAATTGATCGACAATAACTCATAAGCTTTTACAAGTTTACGAAGCAACTTTAGTACGATAGTTTTCCTTTTAACTTCGTTATAATATATTGGTAATACTGTCGTAACGTTTGATTTTTCCCCAACAACCGTCTAATTAGTAGATGGGGGGATAGTTGAATCTAAAGAAAATTAGATTTAAAACTTAATAAGTAACAAATGGTTTACTAATCGAAAAACAACCTCCTCAATAATGTTTTTTAAGACCAATGATGCCCATCGTTGGATAAATCTTTAAAGCAACAACGAAAAATAAACCTTCTTCACTTTACATGCAGGGAATACACGTTTTTTCTTAATTTTCTTTTATCACTTTGTCAGTATAATTAACGTAAATTACAACTTTCTAGTACCAATATTATTTTAGCTAAACCGTGGATGGACAACCGGTCATAGCGTAATTATAAGGATTCCTTCTTTCCTAGGGAACCCTTAAAACTATATATGCATATTTGAAAACTTAAAATTGCACCTAAACTTAAATAACAACTAAATTCTAAATTGATTGTGAAAATTAAAATTGGGATAAGCTGTAATTAAAAACAAAGAAGCTAAATCGTAATAATTTCCAAAGATAGTTTCTAATTTAGCAAAAATGTAAACTTATAAAATTTTCCCCAAAAATTATATATAATGTGAGAAACAAAACAGGTTTTTATTTCTAAATCAATTTGGAAGTAAGTGGTATGTTTAAGACCCTTCATCGGCATAAATTAAATATAAACGCGATGAAACCGCTTAGAAGTTGTTTCGTTAAACAAATATATAAACAAAAACGCTAGTACGTACTTCTTATTTCAACGGCATAAGAAGCAACAAGGCACCATAATAATTGTACCAAGCATATTAACTAGCAAAACAATAAATCTTTAATAAATTCCTCTTTTATTTAGCTACTACATGACTTGCTGATCATTTAATTTTTATTACAAAATAATTACGAAATGCAATCGTATATAGTTGAGTTTTAAAGGTAATCTTAAATTTTTAAATAGCTTTAGACAGTTTTTTTGTTTTGCTTTTTACCTAACTACATAACAAAGTAATGTGCCAATATCGCAGATCTCATATAAAAACGTTAATTTCATCCAAAATATTGAACATAGCCAGTCCATTTTTTAACTATTTACTCATTTCAGTATTTTTAAAAATAGGATACCTCACATACTTTGGAAGCATTCCATGTATTTCTTAATTACCCGTAATTTTTTTCGTCATTATATTACAATGTTTTTTACTAGTCAACAATTGTAACTACCTAATAGCAAAAATATCTTACTACATAAAAACTACAATTATTAATGCAGGAGAAAAAGTTTTCACATGGTACCTATAAATATTAACGTAGTTTTCAGGTGTATGGTATAATGTTGCTAGTTACGCAAGTGATGGTCGCCCCATTTACGACTGTGCGACTCTGGATTTTCAAGAAGATAATCTCGGTTATACCTTAAGAGAAACATATGTCAAAGAAGATCAAGGCAATAGGACGCAGAAATCCTACTTTGCTAGAGTAGACCCGACTTTCGATGCGGGGAACAAAGCTCAGTTCATCGTGAGCCATGAAGATGGAGGTAGGTGTATTGATTGAGAGGTGCTAAAGCATTAAGGTTTATGTTTAATCCTTTTAAATCACTCTGTATATAAATGAAACCGCATTAAAATTTATTGTCTAATATAAAACATCTCAACGTACAGGCAGCGTTTATAAAACCTAGTCTTTAGATTACATGCTTTCGATAAACACCAGTTTTACTGACCGAATTTCAAGAGAGAAATGGGCATTCTCTTTAAATCCAGAGTGAATAAGTATATTCCGGAGAACCAACTCCATCTTAAGTCACATCAATACTTGGGGGTGAATGACCCAACAACTTGCCTACCTTTGCATTTTGTGTTTTTTTAATACGATTAAAGTATATTTTCTTATTATATTGGATTTTTATTATGTATTGCTTTATAATTTACTATTTTTACCCCACGTTGTACGGGTAAGGATTTTTTTACCCTGTATGCCGAAGGTTAAATAGATAAGACATTAAGAATCAATTGGATAGTCATATCAAAGAAGAGAATACCTATATAACTTATTGCTCCCCAGTGTAGATTATACGAAACTCATTTTCTCTACGATGAAAAGGCTACTGAGCATCAGATTAGTTAGTATCCAACTACTAATTCAAATTCAGAATCCATCCAGTTTTAAATAACATAAAAAATAGGAAAACGTAATGCAAGGTGCTCAGTACACTTACAACAAAAAGTAATACAGTAAAACCATTTTGTTTTTCCAGACAAAGTCCTACAATTCCCATTCTTCATATTGTCGACTGATTACGACGCATACGCGATTGCTTATACTTGCAAAACTTTAAAGAAGAAACAGCGCACACACTACGGTGAGATTAATTTAGTAGAAACACAGGAGTCGTACTTTGTTTGTCCGAAACGAAATTTGTTATAATATTGAAACCTTCTATCGTTTTCAGAGAAACTGTGCAGGCCTCCTAACATTAGAAAGACAGAAGCAGTAAGACTGCAATTTGAATCTAAAAATTGTATAAAATTTATATGAGAATATTTGCCATTTTTAATTATTATTTAGCAAATTCATGCCACTAAATGAATGATTGTGTGCATAGAATCATTTGATCGGCAATCATAATTGTAAATAGACAAATTTTTCTGTCTTGCCATATTCTCAAGGATATTCTTAAGTTTGGCTATTACTAATAGCCACAATTATTTTTAATAATAATATTATTGAGAACAGTCTAAAATATAAATATTTAGTTGATTTCCCACCCTAGAATCCAGGTATAACTTAGAATAGAGCGTTATAAGTGAGGCAAGCGCAATAAAAAGATATATAATGAAATTCTTAAGTTGTTTATCAAAAGAAAAAACAAATAGAATCAAGTGCAAAGTCGGTAAATTCTAGATGATAATTTTTATATTATCTTTCGATGTTCTATGTTAACCCTATTCATTAAACAATTTCTCGTAAATTTTCAGTATTCACATGGATCCTCTCGCGCAGCAAAGACTCTCTCCAAGGAGACGCCCTGCAGAAAGTCGAGAATGCACTATCCAGATATTCAGAGCTAGCTGCACACCGACAGTCGTTTGTTTTCAAGGATTTCTCCGACAAAAGCTGCTCTTTCTCTGATAAATACGAATCGGATTTCTTCACTACTAACTTTTGGTGATGGTTGTATTAAAAGGACTGTGATAAATCCAATACCGTCTTTTCTTACCGTTACCTCGCATGTAAGTTATCAAAATCTTATGGATATTGATAACTCACAGGACTATTATGAAATTGGGCACAATAAAAGTTCACATAGAGATAGAATGTGTGTATAAAAATTATATATGTTATAAAAATTATATAAAAATTATATATGTTATGTTGAAAAGAAAAGCAGAAGTTGAGGCAGATACAAATTACATCTCGGCTACACAGTGACTCTAATATTTATCTATGTAAGTGTAAACATTATCTGGAATGTGTCCACGAAATATTATTACATAATCTTATTGTTATTTTTATTGACAATTTAAACCATGTAATATCAACCGATATCAAAGTGTACTTGAAAATTTACAGCGTATGAATTTATGATGCTTATCATCAAAATATGATTTCATATTTGAAAACAAACGGATTATTAACTGATACTTTTATACTTCCGCGACCTCCCTGCATGATAGACACACAACATTGACTATCTATAGAACTCCGGGTTCGACTCCCGGACGGATAAAGAATATTCCAGACAGTTGTGATGCCTCAAGGATAATTTAAATGGAGAGGGTTCACCAAACACACTCCGTCTAGTTTATGTGGTCGAATATATCGCCACTACATAGCTAGTAGGTAGTTGTTAGAGCGTTCGGTATACTATGAGGAAAAGTGACCAACCCAATGTTATGAAATGTAGGTATTATTAATTTTTAAAACTTTCATATTCTGTAATTAAATGAGACTTGACCTCGATATCGACTTCAGCACTGTCACAATATAGATGTTCGATAAAATAAAACCTTTATTAACTTATTAAGGTGGATGTTTTTTTTTTGAATATCGCACAGTTCAAAATACACCCATCCTCACTGGACCCGCGCGAATTATGGCCCGTACCTATTTGATTACATTCATAAGAAGGGTCTGTACCCAGCAATAGATCCCTATTGCTGGGTACAGACCCTGGGTACAGATAATAAACTGATAATAATCACATGAAAAAAACACGCATAAGATTTGTACTTCTATTATTTAATAAATACAAATAACATTTATTCGACTAACGCGACACTTAAACTATTTCTTCAAAATTAACATTAAAATAAAAATAGATATCAAGCAAACTAAAAACGATAAAATGTCTGATGTAATGAGACCCTTTCGTAATGAGACAATTTTACATTCAAAATGGCGTCTACTAAATATCTATTTCTAACTTTTACAAAATGGATATTCAGTCCCAATCTTACAAAATAACGATTATCTAATAAGGCACCGTCGCCTAATAATGCAACCCCAATTTACTACGATAATTGGCTAGATGCATTTAGTCAAGAGATATATTATGTTTGTGCACGATTATTTCTGGTCATTGTGCGAAATTATTTCTGTTCGGCGACCATATATATATTTTTTGCAACCCGCGGTCAAAAACAATGGATCTTACTAGGTGACTGTACCTTACCCATTTAAGTTTACTGGGAAACAAGGAATAGTTCTTTCCATTTAAAATTTTGCCACAGATACGCTTTTAAAATAATACTGATTGTAAAAAACTATGAAATAACATTATATTCTAAGGTAAACTGATTAGATAAATTAACTTAATCCTTATTAACGCTATATGACACTATCGCAAATATAACGTTTTTTGTTAATAAACAACAGGTATGTGAGGCATCTCATGGAAAAATCTGGAAATCGCATGGCAGACATTCAGCATTTAAAAGATTATGAATAGAAACAAATATATACAAAACTTTAATCCATCATTTAGCTAATAGCTAGAAAATTTACTTCCATGACGAAGACTGTTTAAACAAAAGACCGAGTAGTCAAAAAAATTGGAATAATATATTATCACCAAGACTTCTGCCGCTAAGCATAAGTTTGTGTTTAGATTTTAATACTCTAAAATTTTCCTAGATACAGTTTTAAATTAAAAAAGATTCGATAATAGGTATTTTTGCAAAATTAATATCAATAAAAAATGCTGCGCATGTCTCCAATGTGATTTAGTTACTTCCATGAAAAATAGCTAAAGATTGCCAACACACGCTAACTTTTATTCGAGACTTTTATTTAACATTCTTGTTCTTGGAATGTATCCTTGGAATGTAAGATTAGGACTTTATTGTAACATCTTTCAGCCTTTAGTCTTTATGCTCGGTAACGACTGCAGTGCTGGTAAATTTGCAAGCCTCCTCAGAGAAATCTGTTTGGACGAGCTTGGTAGCGTCGAGATCCTTATTGTTCTTGAAGAACGTATCGACTGCCGTCTTCGCGTCGCCTTCAAGAGTCTTCGTTCGTGACAACACCCACAATGTGTCTGTAATAAAGATAGGATTTTAAGTTTATAATTAATAAAGAGGAGGAGAAGAGCGTGGTATGTTGATATTTAAAAGAACTTTAATGCTTGGACTTAAGATGGTCCAGCAACTGGGTATGTGATTTTTTCTAAACGCATCATATCTCAAAAATTATCTTGATATTATTATTATTAAATTATTATATAATAATTATAAGACCATAGTTTTTTTTTTCTCTCTATTTATAATGTATTGATCTGGTAATGACATGGTTTTTGTGAATGTCATTACTCCTATTTAAGCTGGTGAGTTTCTTGCTTGTACTTCTTATCAGCCCAAAGACGTCCTGAACGAGTGGTAGGGACAAAAATGTTGGACGAATCAAAAATACATACTTTTAATCTTTATTTTTAATACTTTTAAGAATAAAGATTATTTTGACTTTGTCATTGGAGCATAATCGATACAAAAAGAAAACAAATCTTTCTACTTTATAATATTATTATTTGCAGGAAAAATGTATAAATGTAATCTAGATAAATGTAGAAAACACTACGACAAGATGAATATACAATGAATTATATAGTTACGGAAAGAAAGAAGGAGACAGGCTGTTTAAATCAACTTTAGATCTTTTCAATTTATTATCATAATAAGATTAGTATTTTTTTAATTTGTTTTTGGCGATATGCTGTTTTGCTTTCTCTAAGACAAATGCATGACTCATGTCTCAACTATAGGATAATATCAGCTGATAACCATTCCGAAAGTCGATAATGACTCATCCAAAAAACATTTAATAATATAATAAACAATGATTTACTTAAAAATACATATTCATCACTCTTTTATCTTAATACTAGGAAAACTTATTTATCAGATTAGAACCGAACTAATATATATTATCAATAACTAGCCTTGGACGTTAGAAAAACTAACATTTGTTGATCGAATGATACTCCGATGAGGGGAAAACACGTGTAAACAAATAGTACTATTGTACTTGCGATTAGTTTCTGTTGAAGTTACCAAATAAGGTTGAGCAATTTAAAATTGAAGTCTGCAATTTCACAGAACGCTATTTCATAAGTAACTAATAAAATATGAAGTTATAGCTCGTAATTAACATTTTGTGTTACAATAATTAAATTATTAAAGTGAGAGAAGATGATACTGTCTCAAAATAATTTTATAGATCCACGTAAATGTCAATAGAACAGGCACATAATGGAACGTTAATAGTCCGCGTTGAGACGAATGATCTAATACAGAGTTTTGGTGGGTAGGCCTCCGGGGACCCACTGGGCAGCTCACTGTCAAGTGGGTTCACGGAGGAGAACCCTACACACCCCCTGTTGCTTACTAGGAAACAGGGGCAGTACCAAAAGCATTTCCTCGACGTAAAAAAAGGTAACGTTAGTGAACGGTATGGAAACATGACACTAACGAAACGACAATAATACTATCAGAAACCGTATTTAATACACTATTTATAACGAAAACCAATTTTCGCGTTAATACCGGGTAACATATTACAACACCCTCCATATTGTCATAGCGTTCTTTGACGTTTGTTCCTATCTACACTATTATAGAGTCTAATAATAATTTATGATAATTTAACTAGTTGGCAAAGATCAGATACATTTATTATTATTTTAATAATAAGTACGTTCCTTTACAATAATTTTCAACAATGTAGGTGCCCATAGTGTTAACTTTTCTTACACTACGTCTATAATATAATGTCCCTAATTAGTCTTAAATCTTTTTGTTTTTTAAAGACATACCAATCATCTTTCTAATCCTCAAATATTTATAAGCCTACAAAATATACTTAATGATCACTAATGGATTTCATTTTATCTTTTCTTATCATATTAGTTTTATAGACATAATACGCACCTTTAAAATAATCATAGTAATAATACTGATTCACAAATCAGCATGCTCGAAAACGTGACTTTTAGAAATCAATATTTCCACAGGTTATTTGTGGATTAAACAAGCTCAACCTGACATCTGTCCCATAGAAGTGTAATGAAACATTGATCTTAATTTTTCAACATCTGTCGCACATCTTTCGCACCTTCGACATTCATCACCAGTCAGCACACCTCTGAATTCATATTTACTTCACCAGCAACTCAGGAATTATCAACATTGGCAAAACCACATCTATCGCTTCTTCAATATTCAACAACAATCGCATACGCACTTTATTCGCTTCTTCAGCATTAACCTAAAGTCGCATACAGACTTTTTTCGCTTCTTCAACATTCAATATCAATATGCAGACATCTTTCTATATTTCTATGTTTTGACACAATCAGTACCAATCCTTAAGCATATACTCGTACCACAGTTTTCCATTTTTAATTTAAAAATTTTTAATTCTTTCTTCAAAATAATACACAGCTCGGTAAATTTCTTTTCATAATTTCTAATAATATTTAAATGCGAAAATAACTCTGTATGTTCATCTGTTACCTTTTCATGACTAAATTTGTAAATTTATTTTTAATAAATATTAATGAAATTTGGTATACAGAGAGAGTGGACATTAGGAAAGAACTTAGTATAGTTTTTATGGCCCAAAAATAGGCCTATAAATTTGATTTGACTCTCACCTTGATGATTTTTCTTGTTGTCATCATTTTTGCAATTGTAAGCGATGGCGTAGCTCTTGTAATCAGTGGCGACTACCTGCAATGGCGTCTCCCTGCTGAATTCTACAACGATAAGATGTATAAATTAAAAAGGTATACGCTAATTTCACAATTCTGTATACATCTGAAGTTCGTGTATCTATAATTGACTTTAAAAAAAAAGAAGGTCGTTAATTTGATTGAATGTTACATAATATATGTTTTATGATATCTTTATCAATAATAAATCGATTTTGATGAATCTTCTTTCTTTGTGAAAATATATATTCATGGTAGTACAAAAACAAATTCATAAGGATTAAATGTGAAGATCGAGTGGTTAGAAATATCATATACAAAGGCTCACGCATATTCAAAAGATTTTTGAACTACTTGATCAGCTTTGTTTTGAATTATTTTTCAATTTTATTAAAGATATTTGTGAGTCCTTTTGTAATGTTTTAACGATATACATGTCACAAAGAGATTGATCTTAACAATAATTAATATAGAACAACTAATACACTCGTAGAACAAGAAATTATAAAAACGACTTGAAAATATCCAAGTTTTCGTTCGAAGACAAATGGAGTAGAACTTTAGGCATCGCGGTAATTTGTACGAGTTACAATTTAATGTTTACCTCCGAAGTTCAATGTGACGAGGAGTTTGGCTGAGTTTTTGGCATCGTCAGCGAGTTTAGCAGTACCCTCGATGGAAGTCTGCACTCCATTGACGATATGAGTGTTCTTGAGTTTCACCACGTCGCCTTCTAATTTATATTCTGCTTGTGCACATTTGCCGCCTTGCTCATTGGCTGTGTCGTATTTTGAGATTTCGTACCAAACTCCTTGGTACTGTAAACAAAAAGAATGATAATTTTAGTGTTATGCGAATTATTCTAATCGAGTTCTATTTCTGGTTCGGACCCAAGCCATCTCTTAGGGCCGAACCAGAAATTCTACTGTGTGTGTCAAACTATTTGAGAAGAGAGATTATCTAGAGAGAGATTATGAGAGTTGAAATACTTTGAAGAGTAATATTAATAAAGTAAAACAAAAAGTATTCAAAAAAATGTTTTTTTTTTAAGTTTTTTGGCTAAACAGAGCTAACACGAATGAAACATAAGTAGTGTTTAATAATATTTCGTATACATTGTTATATCGTTTACACGTCAGTGCTGTTAGGTCCCGGGTAGCTCAGTGGTAAACGTAGTTTCGAGTCCCATCTCAGAGTCCCTGGGGCTTGTGGATTTTTAAACAGTTTTCATTAAGGATATTAAATAACATTGTTTAATTTGTGGTAACTATTTTTTTTTTCTATTTATATAGAGCATGTGATTTTATATGTCTTACAATAAAAGTACTAGATAAAGTTACTCATATATTTGTGCATAATTTTACTTTCATAGTTACATACTTTCTCTCTCGTACTTAAATGTTCAGTAACTCAAAATTTTGTCTGACCAATATCCAGTTGCAAATGTCCTTTAAAATTTTCATTAGTTTAATGCAATATTAGTGATACAGATTTTCACATTTCGAACATTAATTAGAACTTAAAGTAGTCATTAAACCTGCAACTGGGTGAAAGATCGCTTTAAGAGAAAAGAGTGCCTTTGCTCATTCTAGTATTAGAAATATATTACTACTTTTCTCTTTCTTGGTATATCATGATGTGAACAATAAAGTGTCTATACAGGAAAAAATCGTAGCCAGTGCGTAAAGCTTAATGTTGTTTTCGTAACCTTGTTTTTTGCCTATTCTTTTAACCTGATAATGCTGGTGATAAAAAAAAGAAAAGATATCTACGTTGCTTCTTACGATAAGATTATGGAACAGGAATGGCGCTTATCGGGTACTCAAAAATTGCGATTGTTTTTTTTTACTACTATTAAAGTAAACACAAAAATTTTAATAAATACCGAAATAAAAATTATAAGACATATGAAAAAATTCTAAAAAATTAGGAAAGCATTTTTATTTCATAATGTTTTTTTCCTACTTATATAATATTAACATAGAAGGCAATAAAAATCAAAATTCACAACGATATAAGATAAATGTTTATTTCATAAGAATTAATTAAAGTATACTTAAGTTTCAATGTTGTTAGGCATTCTATTGTAATTTAAATCTCGAAATCACCAACCGAATTCAACACTACACATTAGGAAAAAAATGGATACATATTTATCTTAAGGTATGTTTAATTAACAAGCGAATAGAGAAGTGCTAATAGTCAGTGACCGCATCTTTTTCAATGTCATATTGTTACTAGGCTTATTTGTAAGGGACTTTTTATGAGAACAAAAAATTCAAACGCTTTATAATACATGATGATGTAATATTTGTGATACCTAAACCGTGATATATTATGCCTACTCTACCCATTGTGGTGATCAAATCTGGACAATAGGTTAGTGAGAAGTAGCCGAAACTGAACTGAAGGCATTCCAACGTGTGGACGCCATCAAAATCTATCTTTGCTGTAACATTCGCTCCAGAATATTGACTGAGCGGGTGATATAGGTACAAACGATCTCATAAAATGGTCTTTAGTCATATGAAGCAGGAGTGCGTTTCTGATTAATCTCCGAAAAATAGAAACCAAGAATGAAATGAAATACATGTAATCGAATAGGATTATGACTGGGTAGAAATGAAAGAGATTCTACTTCATTCGGCAGGCAGATAATAGAATAGAATAGAATAGATTTTAATATTAAAATAGAATAGATTGAATTAGAATAGATTTTATATAATAGAAAAATATTAGATACGAACCTTTTTTTGTTTTTCGCCTTAATTAATAAGAAATGGCTCAGATAATAGGCATTAAAATTGAGAAGTAGGGGCTCGCTACCTCACTACTATGTAGAAAATGTACTAAGGTGTAAACGTTACGCGACATTTCAACTCAATGTAATATTTTGATTACGAAAAAAAAAGTGTTTAATAATAATTAAGTTTGAGCAATTTTGCATTCACAATACTATACTGAAAAATATTCTATATATTAAATAGAGATGGAACTCGAACCCATAACCTTTTGCAATTCGGGCGACTGCTCTAACCACCGAGTTACTCGGGACCTGACAGGACTGACGAATTTTTCAAGCACTTGTTACTTTTAAGCTGCTACAGAGCGTATTTTCATCAATGTTCAGGCAATCTACCCAAACAGCCGAAAGAAATATATAATAAAAAGTCTATACAACCAAATAACAAAGTTACCCCTGATATTCTCAATTTAGGGACTCCATTTCTTATTGTAATTATTTTTTATTGGGTAAATTGATAAACAAGTTAATCACTTTGTGGCCGATGGAAATAAATGAATTTTGCAAATAATTCATCAAACAGTTTTTGAGCCGCAATTCGACATCCTCTATCCCTATCTGTTTGCCGTGGACAATGAGATACAAAGGTGTTTTGGATTTATTCCCACACTTAAAATTTTATATTACGATTATTAATAACTAATTTGTGCATCATTAATTTATTATCTATGATTTTCTTCTATACCTGATTTAATAAGTCAATCTCAAGAAGTAATATATTGATAACAATCATAAAATTGATATTACTATTGTAAAATAACTTTATTCGACTCACATCTCCTTGAAAACCATTTCAAATCCGTTAAATTAATCGAAAATCTGAAGAAGGAAGCCTCACTATCAAGTTCAGATCGATAGATGTCAAATGTGACTTTTTATAATGACCCAACTGAGCCTTAATCGCCTTATGAGCCTTAATCGGGCTAATATCAAATCAAAAGGCTTATATCGATTGCTAGCTAAATAAAATTATATCAAAATAAAATTATAAATTAAAATTTAAGCCAATAGAAATTATACCTACTAACTAAAAACGCGCGTTGAAATTTTGCCATCAACATACAATAGCATAAAAGAACATAACAATCACATGGAAGAGCATTCAATCGTTACGTCATACAAAATTTTCTAAAGAGGTTTTAAAATAGCCGGAAAAATATTGTAAAGGACTATAATGATCGAGCTCGTTATTGGCAATCGGTCGCAGCGTTGAACATATTAGGTTGAACCATAACGAATTGAGTCATAATGAGGAGTGTCAGAACAAACAGACAAAACTGGTCGCAAATACTTATTATTTATTGTTGCTATATAGTTAGACATGTCATTGAAACCAATATATGTTAAAACGTAGGTAACGTACCTTATTTTAGTATATATAGGTAGTATGATATAATTATGTATCATACTTAAATTTGACAGATAATTTACTGATAGACTTAAAGTCTCCCATCAAGGTGCAAACCAAGGCACTGTCTTTCCATATATTGAGATTCAAACTTCCTGTACATTTTATGAATTTAATTTCTCAGCGATCGGATTAAAGAATGCCTCTTAGCCTCCTTCGTCTTCTGTATTTACTCGCTTTTAAGTTGGAGGTATAATAATTTACGTCCACATATTACAACATGTCCAAATGAATGGAGCTTATAATTCACGGTAATGAATATAATATGAAATTTTGTACACTGTCTTCAAATTTTTCTGCACAATATCACTTACTCAGACTCTATATCATCTTTCGTGATTCTTACTTAATATTATTTGGTTTACTCACTATTATAGAGTTTCATAGAGTGTGCTCCGCGAAGTCCTAACAAAGCGTATGTTTGTGGCCACAATAAATTTGCCCATATTTCGTTCTATTAATGTCTCCTCTACTGAGGCTCAGGCCTTCCCTATGGATGAATTCGAATCAAATCGAATAGGGAGACTGGGCCATGGCCTACCCTGGAGGAACAGTGCGGATTGATGGGTGTTAACAACTGCAGATGCAGTGGGAAGCTAACGATATGACGTGCCTTCCAAAGCACAGAGAAACTCGAGATAATAAAGTTTTTACTACCCATCATATGATCGACTATTGCAGAAGTTGCTTTACAACCGTTTCGCATACCGAGTGCGCCACCGAGCTCCTCAAAAATTTGGCAAATCATAAGGGTTAAATTAAAAAAAAATGTGTATTTTTTTTCTTTTGTTAGGTTTATAGCTTTGGAGCTCATTTTTCACTCTGAAACTCGTGACTGACTGGTGACTGATGTAACACCTATTCTGCTTTACAGGGTAGTACAATTATATTATGTCACTAAAAAAAGTTTAACCGCTTCACTTTTAAAATAACCACTCGCGTGAATTTGTAAAACTTATTATTATCTGACTTGAATTTTGACAAACAAAATAAGGTGGGTTCTAAATTAGGTACAAAACAGTACCTAATTTAAAACCCACCTACAAGATATTCCTATGCCTTTTAATATCGCTCATGTAATTCTGGAATGCGAGAGGCTGGTAGCTCACCAAGGACACATACTAAGGATTTTTTTTATTAATTATGAACTATGTATTGTTGATAATAATTTGATGTTATTTAGCGTTCGTGATCAATATTACTTGTATTTTTTTTATATCATATTGTGTATGACTTGCCTGTTATTTGGAGTTCTGTAAACTGGCATAATAATGAATAAATAAATAAATCCAACAACACCCCGCAAATCCTGTGAATACTTAAAAAGCTGCGTTTTGAGTTTATTGGAGTAAGACAGCCAACTCTTCACGCACAATAGACCCATTTAGCTCGAAACCTCGGTGGCGTAGTGGATAAGCGCCGCGGCCCACGATCGTTGTTGTTAAGCAATTTTCGCAAGGGTCGGTCACGGGATGGGTGACCAAAAATTTGATTCGGAAGATACGTTAAACCGTTGGTCCTGGCTGCATTTGCTGTCGTTAATTCCAATCCGCAATGGATCAGCGTGGAGGGTCATGGACCATCCTCCTTAACCATACATAAGAAAGGCCCGCGCCCCCGCAATGGGGACGTAAAAGGGCTGATGATGAACCTACTTTTTAATAAAATATTTCGAAAATTATTTATCAATAAAATTAAAGTTTAATGGAAAGTTAATTACGTTTATTTTAAATTTAATAGCTATAGGTATATTCGTGATGCTTTACCGGTTATGCAACAGGCTCGTGAAATGTAGTTTTAAATTAATGATTTAACAAAATATTAATAAAAATAATTTTATTCGTATGCTTGGAAATCTTATAACCTTATTAATTTCAATTTCTTATATTTTCTCCAATATTCCTGATAGAGATCGCTGTATCAAGTAATTTATTTAAAGTATTAAATGCAGAGACAGTCCCTCTGTCAGTCGTATTTTTAGGTCTGAGAATTTAGGAAAGTTGCTAAGATTAATATATGAGTATGTCTTGGCTAAACAAGTTAAGATACAATTGCCAGTATCCGATAATTAACCATACAGCTTTTGTTGCACAATATTTAATTTACTTTGGGTCATTTCTTGTTATCATCAGTAAATTCTATGTTATTATTCTGCCCCCCCCAACGCTTGCCTACTGTGGTCATATGGTAGCTAAATAGATAATACTTTAATGTTAAACACCAAATATAAAATATACATAGAACAAAAATTAAGCTATGTGTCACAATCGACGGTCTTATCACTATAAAATAATCTCTTCCATACGACCTTTTGATGGAGAGATGGACTTACTTAAAACAAACTCCCCTAGGATGTATAATAATCTTCTCATTAGAATTATATATAAATAAACATTAAACAACCATACATATATTAATATAGGTATATACCATGTAGCAAATGAAAAAAAAATACATACTATCCAAATATAACTATTATTTGTCAAAGAAAAATGTAATTAATTTGCAGTAACTAATTAATGTGGTAGAAATTCCTTTCCAAAAAAATCCATCTAAACGTGGTTCATGTCGTAAAAATCATATAAGTTATATCAATAAAAATAATAACCAGTAACAAACAATGCACAATCTAATATCGAATCATTCAGATACTAAGATCCGATATCAACGTAAAATCTATAAAATACGTAACACATTATTAGATAAGAGTTTGTGTTCAGATAAATAGAAGTACTATATTGTCCCGCTAAAAATTTCAATACTTACAATTGACTTGGAAAATTCTAATAAGATCAAATAGAGAAATGTGATCAGAGACCACGATGGATATTTTCGTTTTTTCCGACATGATTTCACGGTTGAATTTTGTAAATGTTTATAATAGCATTTATGCGTTCTTAGTAACATGGTTATCTAAATATAAAGTTTCTGAAGCTTCGTTTATTAAAAAAAAAACAAACGAAAACAAGACTGTCTCGGACTGTAACTAAATTGCACCAATATAAATATTTTCCGATATAACATCGGCTTAGACTAAATGTTCGGCCTTCGACTTTAATAATTTTCAATCGCTTTTAACTTTAAAATCTTAAACTTTAACAATCTTCAATTCGAAATCAATAAGGTATAATAGACCCACAGGTGTGAACGAAACATTTTTTAATTACTATAAAAATCACTTGGATACAGCTAAACAAGTTAATGATAAATTATTTGGATTAATTTGGAAAAGAATCGAGCTCTTAAGTGTAAAAATCATTCATTCAATCATTTTTTTTAAATATGTGTGTCTCCTTAATTAATGACGGACGAAAAGTAGAATCTATACTCACAGCCGATACATTGAAGTTTTCAACCGGCTTGATATCCGGACAAGTGCCATCATGGATGACGCTAGCCGCGGCCGCTACCGTAACGAATGCGAAGAAAAAAAGTTTGCACATGTTGTCAACAATAAGAAAAAAATTAAGTCACCGACGCCTGCGTACACCGCGAATGCCAGTGGAATACTGATCAGACGTGATGCTGCAGGACTCTTATATACCCCCGTAGCAGAGGTCACGGGCGTTGAAACAAATTTTATAAGGATTATTTCATTGAAACTGTTGTGCTGTGGGTGGGTTCTAGAGTTCTAGATTAGTGTAGACTCACGTAATTACGTCGAATCAATCACAAATTGGCTAATTGTAAACATTATCCTGAATTACTGCTTCGAATAGAATCATTTGGTTAACTGGTTAAAAAAGAAAATTGTTAGTGATTTCCCGAGGAACTGCTATAGCCCATTAATAAAAAAGGTAACTACCGTTACTAGTCAATTGGTCAGCTGGTTCAATCTGCGATGTCAAGCAACTTTTGTGAGGGTCGTTCATTAGATAGTGACCAAAAAAGTATTCTCCACCGTGCTTCGGAAGCCACGTTGAGACGTTGGGTCTCGGCCGCATCTGCAGTCATTAACACCTATTATTCCGCACTAGACTCACGTGATGAGTCATGGCAAATTCTCTTTAACCATCTATAAGATCTAAGGCGTTCTTAAGGTCCTGCATTAAGGACGTAAAAGGCCAATGATGATGATCCTCCTTCACACTTCTGACTATCTATCCCATTTCTTTCCTCGTCACTGGAAGTTATAAGCAATGCTCGTAGTAGCTATTCCTGTCGTTACTTTACTATTATTTTCCTATTTTCTCTTTCACCTTTCACACCAACCTTTTTGCCTGGAGGAGATTGCTGCATAGCAATGAAGCCTCGATCTGTGTGCTGTATTTAATGTATTTCTTTCTTATTACTGCTTCCTACGTTTATGCAATAAATTATTATGATATTAGCTAGACTAGACGAGTCGATGTACCGCAAACATTACAACACCAAAACTTCGAATTTGAGCGAGACAAATGAACAGAAATTGTATTTTTTTTATATATAGATATATCACTTTCTTTTAAAAATACAAAAACAGATTTTCATATTTAGAATATTATGGATTATACTGGTCATCATATGTGAAATATATCTTGTCTTGATATATGTAATCTTCTACGATTGACATGATTATCAATACACTTACAATACAATACCTCCTATCGATTTTGTTTGCCTGTACGTGATCAATTTAAAAAGTTCTAAACGGATTTTCACGCCATTTTCACCAAAATAATTCCCGAGGAATATTAAAGTGTTTTCAGATTACGAGAAAAAAATCATTAAATTTTTGAAGCAGAAATATAACGATGATTAATTTAAATAAATATACTATATCATAATGTAAAGGAATTGGTTCCATGTTAAGCTAGTAAAAGATAACATAATAGGAATGAGAACTAGGTGAAAAAATCTATTTAGTCTGTCAGTCAGTTAATAGAAATATATAAGGTAGGTACGTTTTTTTTTTTGCTTAAATTTAAACAAGATATAGCTTAGATAATAAGCATTAAAGTTGAGGACTGGGGGCTCATTACGTCACAGTTTTGAAGGAAATATACAAAATCATGACGTCATGCGACATTTCAACTCGTTGTATCGCCGTAATTAATTGAATACGGAAAAAAATACATATTTAATATTTTCAATAATCTACCTGATGGACAAACAAACAAAATTAGTTATCATTCCCATTATGAAAGTAACGTTAGAACATATCATTATTAATAACAATAGATTTGTAATTTTCTTTTAACATAACATTTTTTTTGCTAAATTGTTTGCTAAGATATTTATAGTCGCACGTCTGAAGACCCTTTATAAAATCCGTGACGTTATAAAAAGTTATTAAATTATCTAAATAAAGCCAAAAGACTGACTCTATCTCTGTCCTCTGTCCCTGCTTGTCATTGAGCTCGCAACGAGACAAAGAAGGACGACGAATTAAGTGTGAGAATCAGATTTTTATGAATTTATTGTAAAATTATAAATAATTCAGTTTTTTGTAAAATTACTGCATATGCGGACCCGCCGCCAGAATGAGGTCCGGTCAAATAGCAGGGCCATACCCACTAAAACCTAGCGATGTCCCTCTCTAAACTAGCGAAGCACGATGCGGATGCGGATCATCTCCCGTGCATTTCGCCCATATTTCGGCCAGGGAAAAGCTCAGGAATATACGAGTCTAAGCCCCAGACAGGCAAAGGGGCAGGCAATGCCCGGCAAGCACACTGCACTGCCAGACTATCCCCAGTCAAACACAAGAGTTGCGCAACTGTGCATCTCTCACCCTAGCCCGTCTTATAGAGGGATGTACAGCCAGATAAAAGCCAGGCAACTGGACTTTGACAAAGCGCGATCACCCCTGCGCAATCACACTCGTCCTAATAAACTTATTTAAAGTACTCATAAAAAAACAATTCATAAAATGAAAACCTATCAGTATCTACTTACGTTTTTCATACAATTTAAAGATATTAAGTCGATATGTATATTCGACTAGCTTTCCGCGAGGGGCATCGCCCGTGTGGTACCTAGATTTTTGGTACTTTATACCTACCTAGTTGGTACCTAGATATTTAGATATCGGTTCATATCCTATTGGTACCTAGATATCGGTTCATATAATTACAACGACAATTGAATAGTAAACAATGGTAATGTTTCATTCCTTTATTTGCTGATTTTCGGTATAAAAGGCCGGGAACCGGAAAGGACAGCCATCCCGAAGATGAAAGAATTTTTAACATTGGTTCAGTAGTTTCGGAGACTTAATAACATTAGTATAAACAGTATGCACTAAGGTAGGTATCGGTAAGGTATTACCCATGGGTATCTCTAGATAAGATAATGTAATGATATTTTTTAAATGTTCATTTAGATAAGAAATCGGAAAACCAAAATGAAGCACAATAAGAACTAAAATAAATATTGGAACAATTTTTAAATTTATATGACACATAATTTTTTTATCTCATCTAAAAATACTTTTATAAATTCAAAAGATCGAAGTGGCTGAGGAGCACTTGAAACTGTTGACTTTCCCATTTTATTTAATAGCATGAGATAAAATAAAATAAATAAATATTGGATAAAATCACAAATACAAATCTCAAGTAACTAAAGCCTTTGTATTATGGAAATCCGAAACAACGATGGTACAACAAAAGACCAGACCAGAGACAAATAGATTACCTTTTCTATATTTACTCGAATGGCAATTGAACTGAGACTTCATAAATGGCGACCTTTAGAACCAGCGAGCTAATCGGCTCAGTCGTGGTTGTTATAACAGTAAAATTGTCGAAATATGTAAAGCATAATATTTATTTATATATCTTCATTAAAAAATGAGTAGGTACACGTTTTTAAATCATTTCTTTTAATGAAAACCAATTCACACTCGAATTTCTAGGTTGCTAGCTGCTAAATTATAACCTACATCATCTGCTTATTATGTTGGTTTCCGTAAGTATTTTAAATAAGAATTTTTAAAATTGGTCCGGAGCCTATTTAATGCAATAATCAAAACTTCATCATCATCATCATCAACCCTTTTACGTCCCCACTTCAGGGGCTCAGGCCTCAAAACTTACCTCTTTGTAATTTAAGTTTAGTTTATATGGCTTACATTTGATTACACAATAAATTTATATAGTAAAATACACACTTAGGTATGTGTGACAATTACTTACAGGCAAACAGTACTTGCTTAGAACAAACAAATTATAATTATTATTATAATTTAAATATACTGAACGTTTACATCATCATCATCGTAGTGATGTGACTCGAGCTTCTACTCGATTCATCCGAGAGAATATTTGAAACTCGAACTCGTGTGAAAAAATATCACTCGATTCTGTACGTGGTCGAATTGATTATCTTGCCACTAGGTGTCACTTCGCTACTCTAATCATGACGCTTACTTTTTATTTTCTTAATGACTTATATAAATATATATGTCAAAACTCTTTTAATGTGTATTTTATTTTTATTATAGTATTTGTTTAAAATTACTTAATAATTATCTCACTCGAGTAGCACGTTTGCAATTTTTTAATCGAGTTACTGGAAATCTCAAGTATGACTCGAGTGAGGTAGTTAATAGGCTCGAATGATCCGAATCACAATATTCTCGAGTCGCATCACTATATAATCATCATCTGTTAATGCCCCTACAGCTAGGCCTCAGGCTCAGGCAGGCAAATCGAATAAGGAGATTTATATAAAAAAAAATACTGTGGGGAGAATGCACCATGAGCTCGACGTAATACTTTTTTGTAGACTGACCACTAAAATGCTTACAACGAGCTAAAAATATATAAATCACTTGTAAGGTAATTCTCAAAAAAAAAATTCGGCATAAGTAACACCGTGAAAAGCAATCATCCAATGGTCCTTAATTTCGAGTACTAGAAAATTTTGTGTGTAAACCATTCAGAACTAAAGTGCGTTTTATAAATATTTTAAACTTTCGGTAAAGATGAAAATTTGACCAATTTGATTTAATTATATTTTTGGATTGCAAGAACTTTTGGGTAAATAAATAAATAAAATGTACCTCTATAGTTTTAAATTTAATTTAATAAATGTAAACGTTTTCATAAAATATATATTTTTATTGTGAATGTGTCCAATAGTTTCGGTTTTGAAGGTTGTTATACTCTTAATTAAAAAAAACAATCAATACCTTAGTTTTATGTAAACACGGAACCTGTAAATGGTCCGAAACAAAACAAAATACAAACGCGATAATACCGTTTAAAAGTTGTTTCATTTATAAATTGTGAATCTTTAATTATTCTTACAATTAAAATTTGTCCAACAAATACAGACAACAGACAGACAAATAGATTTAAGTACGACAGGACATTGATAGACAGGCAGTCAGATAAACACGCGAGAGAACGTATTTACGCCATAGGTTCGGATTTTTTCGTTTGTATCATCAAATTCTAAAGAAAGGACTAACTACTTCACCATCAATCTTTTGTTACCATAAATCAGTAGATACTAA